TGTGTATATTTTATAGTTTGTATTGGAGCAATGGGAGAATTAAAAGAAGCTCATTCTATATTAAAAGAAGTACCTGGACAAGTTAAAAAGAAAAATAACCAAATTGAAGCATTCGTCTTAAGACGGGTAGGTTTTTATTTTTAACAGCTCAAAATATATGGTTAAACTATTTCTAAAAATTATCTTAAAGTTTCACAAACTCATACAGGGTAGGGTAACCTGTTCATTAGATATATAGATATACTATTTCTAACATTTATTAACTCAACAACACATGTGAAACATATAGTTTGAAAACATGTTAGTCAGATTGTGGTATTTTGTGATTCTTAACCTGTGCCTTCTTCTAAATGATGTTGGTGTATTTTCAGGGAGAGAAGTTAAAGAAACAGGCGCCTAGTCAGGAATTCTGTCGATTACTGGCTCTAGAATTGATGTTTTTATGGCACGCTATTCCAACCTGTACTGAGGCTGAACTTAAACCAATGTTAGATGGTGAGTGAAGGAATATGGTTATCTGGCAATATCAACTTGAACCAATATCACTTAGTCTTGTGTTTATCTTTATCAAGTGGATCTGTGAATCAAAACATCGTATCGTTCAGCTTTGAAACGCAAGACCTGTTTTAAATTGTCCAATTTTTCCAGCTCGATAGGGTCCGCTGATCCACTCAGGAGAGTTCACATACCTTTTGCAATAGGATCCATTTCAGAGAGTCCACAAGGCTAATACTGTGTATTTTATATTTTCAGTTTGTGATATGCAGACAGATCATAAAGCGTTACATATCAAGTCTCTAGTAGAGGGCGCTATATTTAAAGAATTAGGACAAGAAGACATGGCAGTGGCGGTAAGTTTCTATAGACTTGTTTATCAAGACTGCTGATGGAAGTATGGTCTGTTCTCTAGATAAGACTTGTTAATCAAGGCTGCTGGCAAAAATACTCTCTGCTTTCTAGATGGAGTGAGAGGACCTTAATATAACTAGGGTTATATTGTCTGAATTACTCTCTAATCCATCTACAGGTCTAGTTATTATTATAACCAGTGTATCATATATATTAGTGCTAGGTATTGTCAATCATGCTACGATACATAACGTATTGTTATATAAAAGATACGATACATACCTATCACTATAATATTGAATCATGCTGGAATCTTTACAATATACAATATATATCATATTATAATATTGAATCATGCTGGAATCTTGCCACAATACAATATATATCATATTATAATATTGAATCATGCTGGAATCTTGCCACGATACAATATACAATATATATCATATTATAATATTGAATCATGCTGGAATCTTGCCACGATACAATATATATCATATTATTATATTGAATCATGCTGGAATCTTGCCACAATACAATATATATCATATTATAATATTGAATCATGCTGGAATCTTGCCACAATACAATATATATCATATTATAATATTGAATCATGCTGGAATCTTGCCACAATATCTGTGTCTAAATCTCTATCTGTTTGCTACTGGGAGAGATATATTGTCTATAATAACTGCTGTGTTGGGTTGTATATCTATAAATTATGAATCTATATATTATATTGTCTCTTGACTTAAAGTCTTGTGATGGAGGTGTTGTAGCTAGTATTTGTCTGCACTTGCTTCATTTTTAACCCATGCTAAATCTATTTTACCTCAAATGATTGATTGCCAATAGTTGCACGTTTTAAATTCATTAAGCGATTTGATTGGATTGTATGCTATCAAATACAGCCAATCAGAGGTCTTGACAGAAAATCTTTGAACACAAAGACGTGATGGTTGCTAGTAGTTACACTTTTAAACGGATTAATTTAAATAACAATATACATGATATCTTATTCTTTCTGATAAAAATCTGAGAAAGAGTCAGTTGTCCTGGTCGGTTGCCATTACAGAAACATATCACCATCAAATTAAAACTGTTTTAAGAAAAATAAAAGGCACCAACTTCTTCTAAAGGAGAGTATCTCTTACTAACAATTCAAGCACACATTAGCACATATCTCTGAGGTTTCACACTTCACACTTTCCTGAATAAACCCTCGCTACTTTTACCGTTTTTGTATATCAAAATCAAGCTGAAATAGTCAAGGTATTAAACCTCCTATTCTTAGCATGTTTTAAATTAGAGCTCAAAATATCTTCAATATCTTCAAAGTCTTTTACCATCTTCATTAGCCACATGGCGCAGAAAAGTAGGATGTAAAACTGGTATTTTTTGGTTGACATCATCCTTTGTAAAGGTGGATATTTTGAGCTCTGGTTGTCATGTTCCTTTCTTAACGCACTTTCTGTTTTATTTTTTGCACTTATTATTTAATTTTACCTCTTCTAATTCTCCACAGTTCCGTCTGTCCAAATTTTAATAAAAAAGGTGTCTGTTTCACCTGGTAAAATTGTAATGTCGTTAACTGTCTGTATGTCTACCAGCTGGGAATGATTTTACAAATATTTATGTTTTTTATATTGGTGACAGGTTTGTTTAATATATAACAAGAGTTATTGCCCCTGTCTATATATGATATCTATTTATTACAGTGTTTTGATGAGACAATCGCCCGAGCTCAAGGTATGAAAGATGATCACCATATACCAGCCTTCGCTATGTTTGAATTGGCCACTATTTACATGCTCAAACCTGAGGTAGGTAATGAATTTTCTCATGCAGGACTGTTGATGTAGCTGTATTTTCTAGACATGACATGACTGACAAACCAGCTCAAATGTCCGTTACTGACAAGGGTCTACTGGACACCAAGGAAAAGTTGATAAGGAAAATGTGTCTGTCTAAATTCAAACCTTGGCAGAATAGATAAATTCAGTGTTAACACTATCTACTCTGTATCACAATGTAATGAATATCAAATTTGCAATTTGAAAATTGAACAATTAGAAGTAACAAACGACTAAAATAGCACAGTTTGAGTTTGGTTGACTTTCGACTAACCGTAGTTATATCATCTCTACTCTTAAATGTTGCTTTAAGATAATAAAACTAATTGGCTTAATGTTATTTTTACAGACGGAAACTAAAGCTAAAAAATTACTTCTTCAAATCAAGGTGAGTGAAGCTATGTTACATCATTTGTCTTGTCACCATATTAAATTACGTATGGTTCGTACAGGGAAATAACACACACGAACGTAGTTTTTAACACTTCCTTGACTTAACCAGCAGAACTTTGAAAAAGGCTACATAGATTACAAACTGTCAAATACCTCGACTGCAATAGTCACCTATCTTATATCACAGAAGTTTGTTAATGCAGTGATTTGATTGGATTGTACGCTAGCAAATACGAGAGCCCTTGGCAGAAAGCCTGTAAACAATCAGCCATAATGATTCCATACTTTTTGCCGAGGGCTTTGACTTTGGAATTCATCAACAGTTCATAATCCTAACGAGAGTTATGTGTTTTATTTTTCAGACTGAATTTAAGGATTATGATTTTGAGAACAGACTGAGTGTACGAGTTAATAATTCTTTAAAACGATTAAAAGATATAGAAAATACCCGGTCTAATGGTGCCTCCAAATCATAGGTTTATTATCTTGTTGTATTCTAACACAGTCTTTATCTTTTCTCCTTCAATAACTGACATCATATAGTGTCTACTGCTTCTCGGAATACACCTCCCAGCATTGGAGAGTGCAGAAATTATATTGGCTGGCGGTGTCGTCAAATAGACGATGTTCAAGAGGTCCGTCTTTAGACTACGCGTAACAAAATACCAGCGTTAGAGAGTGCAGAAATTATATTGGCTGGCGGTGTCATCAAACTGACGAATGTTCAAGAAGGCCGTCGTAAGACCCTAACTGAAGTGGCTATATTAAAAATAAAAGTTTATAAAAAACAGAACAAAAGTTTGGTCTAATTCTCGTCAGACTGAATGGCTTTGAACAAGTTAATTAAACAAATTATATCTTAAATTGAAAGTAATATAACTTTAATATATAGCCGTTTGGGTATATATTATGTAATTACGTGACCGTTATAGCAGCCATTGTTTTTTTGAAAGTATTTTGAAAGTTATGACATTAAGAGAAGAAAAGATAAAGAATTGTGTATTTAAATAAAATATAGAATTTAACTTATTTTTTAAAAGTATTCATATACAACTGAGTGTAAGTTATACCTGTATTTATTGTGTTTTGTGTATTGAGGTAAAGTCTAGTGATGATATAAATTCATTAAAACCAGGGGGGTGGGGAAGGGGGTGCTCGAACGATGAGCTCTGCACATTCAATAAATTATTGAATCAACTAAACAAGTTGGAACAGAATTAAGAACTTGTTCCATGTGTGCAGGTTTCGACAGAATTTGGGATTTATTGAATCATCCAAACAAGAACTCGTTCCACGTGTTCCGAAAAAATAGTAGGTGCAGACAGAATTCAAAATGACAGAGAAGGAAATAAATCTGAAAATATCTGCTTTCTTATTGTTTGATTGAGGACAGAATTGTAACAGAAGCAACCTTTTCAGAACTCCTCAATCAAGCGCCACCTAGATTCGTGGAAAATCAAATAATTAAATGTCTCTTACCATTCTCAAGTGCTCTCTCTAGTTATAACTAGTATAAATTTCAGACTTGTAGATGATCAAATACTTTTATAAAGGGTTACCCTGATTGGAATTAAATTCAAAAACATTCAGATTAATATACTCAATATAAAATACTAGACGTGTGAACTCTCTTAAACAAAATCATATTGCAGAGAAGTAGGATGTAAAACTCCATTCATTTCATTTCATTTTGAAAGAAAATCGTAGAGTGGTAAGCATCTAAAAGGGTAAGCATGATCTGGAATTGTTAGCTATAAACTTCTTTGAGGTTGTATCATTGATTCTATATATATATATATATTAAGTCATGTGGTATCAGGGAAATCATGTCCTGCCTTGCGGACTATCACCTTTTAATTTTAGATTGAATCATTGTTATTAAATTCAGATTAAAATATTTTATTATAACTGGTAGAAATAGAGGACCAAAAATATTTATTATATTTTCGAACATAACAATGCAATTTTTGACGTTAGTATGCAATGTTTGTAAGGTGGCATAGGGTATTAAAAAAAACACCAAAATATTGATCAGGATTCATGAGAATTTAAAATAATTTATTTCATTGTTTATAGATGTTTGAGAGGATCAAAATTTAAATGGACGTTGTTTTTTTTTTATAAATTTTTATAAATGACCTCGGTAACAGTGGGTTGCTATGTCACAAGATTTATAGAGTCACAATTCAATTCATTTGTAAATATTAAAATTATTACAGAATTGATCTTTTTCAAATATTTTTTTTTAACTTAAACTTGAAGAATCTTGCATTTCTATTCATTATTTGATCAAATTTGATTAAGATGAGATTAAAATAAGAGATATCATGTAGATGTAATATAAAACCTAATATTGATGGTTTTTTCAGTGTATTTTATTATCCCCCATTCTGGTCTTGACGCCCATTTTTATTAATAAATATAATGGCTCATTTGACAAGTAAACACATACCAAACTACGTATAGTTTTTACAGGGAAATAAATAACACACACTAACGTACTTCACAGCCATTCTGAATCTCTTCTTCAACTTAATAATTCAGAGTTGGATAAAAGTTATATTTTAATTAAACTACAAATTGTTTAGTTGAGGTAGTGACTCTATAAACTATTTAACGTGATTTATTAAGTTGAAGAAGAGATTTAAAATGGCTGTGAACTATATTCGTGTGTGTTATTTCCACGTAAGAACTATATGAATGTTTCGTATGTTCTCAATCAATCTTAATTATAACAGTAATTATTTTAAATTTTTCTTTGTGCACTTGTTATTTATATTAGATTCCAAAAACCATGTAAAATTTACACCCTAATAAAGGATCACATTGAAAAACTGGCTGTTTTATTTTAAGTCTAGGGTGGGTAGAAGTTTTGAAATGCCAGCCCCAAATTTAAGCATGGATCTGTAATGCAATGTTCCAATTCAAAAACTTGTCAGACTGGACTAGTAACTTTATATGACTTGATCTGTAACCTTTAGAGAAAACAGTTGAATGGAATTCCATCTTCTGATGATGAATATTAACCCTTTGAACCCTGAGTGTAAATGAAATATAACATCCAAGTAATATAAGTAAAAGTGTATGACGTTAACGTTGTATGAAGTCACTTAGTAACGGCTAGTATATCAGCTGTATATATTGCATTAGTGTGTAAAAAGGGTTAATAAAACGACTTAATGAAAACAGGAATAAATATTTTTATTAAAATAACTTGATAACAAATAATAATATCATATTTATATATATATTACCTCTCTTAGTTCACGTGGAGATCTTAGCTCTAAAATAAAATATTACGAAATATCTAGAGCTATAGTCAGGTGACCCAAAAATAACTGGCACTTTTATTCAAAAATTTCTAACTTAAATTTGATTTGAGGTCAAGATGTTTCACTGAAGATAATGTTTGATATTGGATGTACAGATTAATTGGACTATAAAAAGTTCCCACAAGTTAAATTTCCACGATTTCACTCTCAATTAGTTAAAATGTTTTAGCACTAGTAATGTTTTTTAAACTTTGAACTAGATACATAATAGAAAGAATACAGGGCTCAGTTATTTAAATGCTGGTGTCACTTTTTAAGGTGGCGCTCATTATAAGAAACGAAAAAAAACATACCCAGAAAAACCGAGAAATAAATAAACCAATATTTATATTATTTCATCATAAATAATTGTGACCTTGGCCAGTGCTTTCATGGTGAAATAATTCTGATCACTATAATTAACGTATTCAGCAGGTAATATATAGTCAGTTGTAAAAAAGAATGGAGTATAGTAAATATCACAGTTGAATGTTATAAAAATCCATAGAAACAAAACAATTCCATCAATCTTAAATCTGGTTCAAAGAATGACAAAATTGGGAGTAAAAGTTGTAGAGTAGTGGACGTTATTGGTCATGTTGAGCAAATTCTAGATAAAAAATTCCTGAATATTAAAATATTAGCACATATTCTTTGTTATATTAGTCAGTGAGAGAAGGGATGATTGTACAGAAATGTGACTATTGTGTGGATGATACAACATGAAAGTTGAGAGACAGTTATGTTCAATCCCCTCAAATTGTTCAGCTCTTACACCCAAGAATTTCATCAGTTCAATTCATTATTTTTCTGGCAAATCATCCATTGCTGCCTCAAAATTGGCCATGTCTGTCAGCCCTTTAATCTGGAGATCATTCTTCAATGTCTGGTAGTAAAAGTCTGGCGCTAGAATCTGGATTTTCTGTAAAAAGGCAATTTCTTTTCCTGTAAGTTTCTGAGTAGATTGGCTGTAAATAGAAAAAATTAAGAGTTATGGATGCTCTAATCAGGTAGATATCATGTAACCAGAAGTTGTCTGCTGGTGTTAAAAGGGTTAAAGTTTAAATGATTGTCGAATGTTGATTTGTGACATCTACAGATTATATTTTGAGGGGGAATTTAAACCTATGACATTTATTTTCATTGCCCAAGATAATCAAACACTAATTGATCTAAAAGGGGGTAAGAACGGGTGCACATTATATTCAGGATTAGACAGTATACCACTGCAGGTGTATATATGACACTAGCCAATTCACAGAACAGGATAGACAAGGGGAAAAAACCAATCAAAGCTTACCCTGTAAGTTGAAATTTAGTCATCCAATCTTTGACCTGATTTTTGGACCAATCTTTAACACTGCAGAGTTTTTGGGGTGGGGGTCGGCTTGGGGCATACATCAATTCCTGTCTAACTGGTACAATTTTCTATAAAATAAAATGATATTGAACTATAAAGTTGAAGACAAGAGCCTTTACACTGTTCTTTCCTGACAATGGGCACATATTCATTAGATTATTAACCTAATGGTGCAGAAAATGGGGGGAAAAAGCTAGTTTATCTCATTTATAACGTAACAAAGGACATTAGGGTGTAAAACTCCAGTTCAATTCATTCAAATTAATCATTTCAGAAAACATGATATCAGATATAATACTTGTTACATTGTACAGTTTCTATCTCCTGACTGCCACTTTAAGTACATACACACCATGGAGGGTTCCACAAAGACCAGGAACCAAGGGTATAAAACTCCATTTTTAAAAATATGGCGACAACTTACATCTTCAACAGAGGGTCCATCTACCTCATCATACGTGACAGGATTACTGGCAGCGGACGTACCACCAACATCTCCTTTAATCTTCATAGTAATCTCCTTTAATAAACCCTCAATCTTAGACTCGAATGGATACTTTCCACTAAAATCATAGAACAACTTGGCTCCTAGTATCATACCCAGCCAGCCGTCAGGTCGATATCCTCTCTCCATTATTAACGGTATTACCTTCTTTCTCAGCTGGTGAGCATACTCCGCCTCTAGAAAACAAAATAGCCACAGGATAAAGACTTGATGATCAAACATTAGATAGAAAATACATAAGCATTATATTCACCATTATATGTTATAGGGAACATCTGATATAACTTAACTTACGCCAAATAATCAGTTGTACATGTACTAGGGATTGAAGCGATGTATTCTGGGCCAATGCTTTTATGAGGATGCGGGTTAGCTTTCACTTTCTGTCATCTGGGCCAGTACTTTTATGAGGGGGTAGGGAAGCTATTACTAAGTGTGATCTGGGCCAGTGTTTTTATGAAGAGGTGGGGTACCTATTGTGGGGTCTGGGCCAGTACTTTTATTAGGAGGTGGGGTAGCTATATCTTGTGTTATCTGGGCCAGTGCTTTTATGATGTAAGGAAGGGGTAAACACTCACCTGCTCTGCAATTAGGACTGTCTTTATACTTCCTGGACATACAGATGAGAACAATTTCAGCGTTTTCAATAGCATCAGCCATGGCTTGTAGAGTACTGCCTTCCATATCATCTATATCCATCCATACTTTATGATTCTGAGCTCTGATTCTGTCTCGAACTGTAGTCAACAGCTGAAAATTACAATCAAAATATACTGTATAATCTTGAGTATAATGCGTACATATACTGTATAATCTTGAGTATAATCCGTACATATACTGTATAATCTTGAGTATAATCCGTACATATACTGTATAATCTTGAGTATAATACGTACATATACTGTATAATCTTTAGTATAATGCGCATCTATTAAACTAAGTTTGGCTATGCACCAAATGATTTATGCATTAAACTTTTATCTCCTGGTTGAACTATTTAAATTCTTGAAATTACTTACCGCTTGATTTCCCCACTGATAAGAAATCATCACGTGACCTCTCTCTTCCTCGGCCTGTTTTTCTTCTTTCTCTGATAGTTCCTGGTCAGCCTTCTCTGTGATGTCATTCGCAGCCCTAAATCGACTTTTACTCTTAATATTGGCTCTAGATTTCTTGGCAGTGGCTGCTCTTCTTTCAGTCAATCTTTCACCTGAAGATTGAATATTAATTGTAACTTAAATCAGTTTTATTTTGAAAATTGTTTTTCATTATCACCGTTTGTCATTGAAATGGTGACTTGACTGATGAATTTTTAGAGTTCAAGAATTAGCTGTTGAGTTATTGCCTGTCTGACATTGGGATAGGTTTTAATCATAAATTATGAATTTATGTGAAAACAAGAAATACGATTCTTCAGTGACGATACAAAGAACGTTGTCTGTTTTAATCTTAAAGTTCCCTACCTTTTTTAGTTGAAATTAGCGATGGATATTCACTGCCAGCAACCCATATTGAGTTTGATGCTGGCGATTTTAGGACTAACAGTTTTGGTGTAAATATCGTTTTAAAGCATGATGTGTTGGTACAAGTAATTCCCTTCTTTACACGCACAAAGAGTGCTCATAAAAAAGGAATTACGATATACCGAATAACTGCGAGTATAATGCGCACCTCTTTCATTAGATCATGTATATTTGATATTTGACAGGCCAGCATCAAAACCAAAATTGGTTGCTTGCAATTTTCCCGAATTCCAAGTTTTTGTCTAGATCTTCTTTTCTAACTGCAGGTAAATTTGACTGACATCAAGTTCCTCGTTCATAATAATTCTTTCTCCTACAAAATGTACATTGACCTCGTCAAACACTAAGCATTGCTCAAACACTGCTCAAACGATTCTCTCACCTAAACTGTGGGTTCGATTCCTCCTCAACATTCTGATGCCTGAGCCAGTGCTTCTTAGAGTCCGCCCAGTGTGGGTACTCACCCCTTAAAACTATCCAATAGTTTTTATATATAGCTACTACTATAGCAGTGTTGGAATATAGGGTGCACACAATGAAATACAAGATCCTCTCTATGGACACCATCAACTCACCGATTGATTTGAATTCCTTGCTCTCCAGTAATTTGGTTCTCATAGTCCACAGGATACCATAGCAAGTTGGTTTAATATCAGAGCTACCAGAGCGGTTCTTATTGTCGATGAATTTGATTAGTCCTGGTTCTTTAATCATACTGTCTTGGTTGGCTTCGTTGAAGGCTAATGCCCACAGGGACTTGAGTGACTCTGAAAGAAATAAACTAGATTAAAGCAAGTCCAATGGTTGAGGTTCACAGGGACTTGAGTGACTCTGAAAAAATAGGATATATAAAAGCAAGTGGTTCTCATGAACCTCAAAATCCAATGATGTTCCCACCCCAGCTCTTTAAGAGGTAAATCGCTTTCAAGGCTCCCTTTAAAATTCAGATCTTTTGGACCTCCTCGTCCTTATAGATCTTAACCTACCTTTAGACTCTTCGTGATCTTCAGAATTGGCCAGATTCAAGAGAGAAGGTAGACAACCCAGTTCTACCAATAATCTCTTGTTTCCATCATTTGTCGCTACACTTCCGATACCTAAAATAGAATTCAAAATTTCTGATCTCTCACTTTAAAATACACTGGTTTCACACAGTTTTTATTCTGGTCAGAGATTCTGCTGAGAAAGCGTCTCTTCAAACTCAACACAATCGTCCACAATTTGTCCCAAAGACTTGCCATCTTAAGCTTCTTCCTCGGTATGCTTGGTCTGAAAACGACATCATAAGCCAAGTCTACTCATCTTCACAATGTCAAGCTATTTCGAATTCGCGTCTAATACCTTGACATCATAAGGCAATCATCTTGTATTAAGGATGTTACTAGATGCAGTCAATCCCGCCCACTGAGTTATCGAACATTAAAAGATCCTTCCAAGTCTAATGAATCTTCATTGTCATGCCATTACCAATTCCGTCTAATACATTGACATCAGGGGCAATGTTCTTATGTTTGTATGCTAATATGAACTCTGTCTAATACCTTGACATCAAAATGCATTGATTTAATAGAAAACATACCTTTAGCCAGTTCTAAAGATGACCAAATCATTCCACTACCATCAGAAGCTTTATGTCCTTTGTCATTCACAGACTTGTCAAAAATCTTCAACAGAAATTTCATCACAGTTTCGTTGGCGTTGATGAGGTTACTCTCGCTCTCGGTCATAATGTCCGCCATTGCCAAGATGGCCGTCATTCTAATGGTGTCGTTAGGGTAACTGAGATAAGGCTGTAGGACAGGAACAAACTTGAGTTCTTGAAGAGCTGGAACGTTGCTGTCTCTCATGGCGAGGTTGTGGATGATCATCAGGATTCTGGTTAAAAGCTGTCTGACTTTAATCTGAAATGAAAATCAACAACTCAGGTTTCAAGGGAGTAGACCTGGACTTGGACTACATGCTTACTCTTTACAAAACATCTGGTGGTATTTCTCGTTTGAAGAATCCACTACTATATTATTATTGTACAAAGCAGACCATGGTGTCACTTTTCGAAACACCTAGTGGTACTTCTCCTTGGACAAGTCTACTACTAGACAACATTTACTCTCGATTTTGCCATTACTTAGACGAGGTTTTGATTAACGGAATTGTCATGCTTGTACAGATTTTTATTAATCTAGCAAGCCTTATAAGTTTCATTGTATAAAAAGCTACCCGGGACCACATTTAACAGTGGACAAACTTACGTCTGCTGTACTGTCTTTATATTGATCACAAGTATCGTAAAGAAATTGCAGGAATCCCTGCTTGGTACAGATGTCTTTGGACAGCTCCACCGAATGGTCCGACCAGTTGACGATTACCAACAGAGCAGCCGTACAAACAGAGTTGGTTTTGGCATCGAAACGACGAGCTTGGTCCAACACAGAGTCGCACACAGCTTCAACTATCTTTCCCTTTGAATGAACATATTCACACACTTTAGTACGGTGTTTGTCAATCCAGTTTGGATACGCGCGCATTTCAAAGAATACAGTATTACTAGTATTGATGATGTCACACTGCGCCTGCACGTCCAGCGGATTGGCGTCAAGTTTTACAAGATGGCCGCTGACGTTCGTTTTGTATTTGTTCATCACTCTGCTGTGGAAAGTCTCTGGATCTTCTTTCTCTGGCGGTTTATTTGGGACTGGTCTTTGCTGAAGTTTTCGTTCTTCCAGCTTCTGACGTAACTCCTCTTCTGCAGAACGAGGTGCCACTTCAGTGTCTACTCCCAACGCCATTTTGGTGCTTTCTTCCATTTTCTTTTTGACACTTGGTATCAATTTTTGCGTATCAGACGTGGTCTCGACTTGTTCGTCTGGTTTTCGCTCTGGTAGAGTATTCTCGTTCTGTTTTAGTTTAGGTGTCACTGTTATTCTGCTGACAGCGGCCATCTTGGCCTTGGCTGGGGGTTTTGATGGTGCTGAACCCATTTTATGTCTGAAACGAAATGAATTGAGTCAGGGCTATTGAATGTGGAATTTATTAAGCTTAAACAAATCATCTCCAGCAAGTTTCTCCCTCATCACAGAGGAGAGTGGACGTTTGTAAGAACGATCTACATCTTGGTTCATAAAGGTCTTGCGATACGGTGTCTTAATTGTTCAAGATGGTTAAAACATAACTTCTGTGTCGGTAGGAACCCACGCACCAAATCAAACACCTTGCACAAAAATTGGTAAAGCTTTTGGGGGTTTGAGAATATAAGACTATCACCTATGTGACCCCCGCATTCATCACACAAACCAAGACCCAGTGAAGCTATTATAATATTGAATAACAAAATAAACAGAATGGTTTTAGATGACTGAATTACTAAGCAATAAGATAAATAAACTTCAAAATCAATACTGAATGACAGATATCGATTAGGCTGGTGTCAGTAGTCCACTGTGAGTAGATTTGTACTCTTAGTATTGAGCAGCCGCCTTAAAAACCCCATACCCCTTGCTGGCCAGACTTGATTGTTCGGGAATTGGGAGGGGGGGTGCGGGCAAGTAATGTCGGGGGAGGTAATGATGTATAGATTTTAGTTTCAGTAATGAATTGATCGGTTGTCAGAATTAATTCTCCACTCCCCTTACCTTCATGTAGCTATGGGTCTGACACCTTAGAAAATTTAGAAATCAATGACTCATGTCTTGAGTGATTGAGTGATTTTTTTAAAACTTGGTTCGGCTAGTCATGCTGTTTTTTCTGGCTCTGCACGATAAAGATCCCTAGACAGTCGGAATCCTGGTAAAATTTCCCTCATAGCATGACGTACGTCTTAAAATTTATGGCCCACTTGGGAGTGGAAAAGTAGGACATATCTGATAAAGTGAAATGATGAGAGAGTCATTAATTCTTACCGTGTGATGCTTTCGTTCTTAATCCCTTCTGCTGTTTCAAATATTATATACCAGTTATTTGACCTTTCACATCGTTAAAACATTGCACAATATTTAAAAAATGGTCGGGCGCCATTGTTAACCTGAGACGATCTCTAATAGAAAAAAATCAAACCGTGAAGAGGTTGACGGACATGTTGATCTGTTGCTAAGCACATTAATAAATAAATCGCTCTACTGATTAACTTTTGTTAATGAGATCGATTGTTCACTGGATAATGGCGTCAGTAATGTAGGCTGGAACGTGTAGGACCTTTGAAATAAAAGACATTTTTAAATTTTAAATGCAATAAACTGACCCATTTTATAATGTATATTCTTATTTGTAAGCATGATGATGGTTGTATTCAATGTTGTCGCAAATGGGATTGGAGTATACATGTAGTTACATTTGTGGACGTGAGAAGCCTGTGAGGTTAGAAGTAGGAGGGGGAGGGGGAGGGGGGGGGGGGGTATCATGTGAGGTGACATCTGAGATACGAGGGCATGCTAATTGACAGGAATTAACAAAGTGTTGGTTTAACAGTAATAGTGATGATAATTACACGTGTGGTTCATGATTATCAGTAGATTTAAGCAGTACAATTAATACACTTGTCAAGGCTGGGGTGGATACACAGGTACTAATTATAAAAATAATAATTATATTAGTTTAATAACTAATAAGATATAGATCAGACTGTAAGAATTAAACACTATTTTATTAGTTCCAAGGGACTGAACAGCAATTCGCCCAATACAGTGGCTCAACTAGATGAATGTGGGCCCGCCGGGATTAGGCAGGTCGGGGCCCTTCTCCCGGAAATTGTTATGCTCTCCTGCATTCTGAGACCAGTTGAGCCTCTGACCCAATACAGAAGGAGTAAAACTAGGTTTTTTTTATATCCTTTTTGTGAAATATGAATGAAAGGTCATCGGTGATTTCAAGACTTTATAAGCTAATCAGTGACCGAGATCAGATGATGAGCAACTGTATGTATGATAAACGAGACTATAATCAGTATTGATTTCCTATTATCCAGACTGTTATTAGATAATGTCTATATTTCCTTGTTACCATGGTAATCATTATATATCAGTTATCGACGAAATCTGTTCTTCTAAGCATTTCACGTTTTTCTTTCTATTCCTAAGGAATATGACTGATATATTTAATATAGATATTGGCGAGATGCTCGTAGGGCAATATCTGAGGGTCGAGGGGGGGGGGGGGGGTCTTCTTTTTGCCTATAATAAAGATTAATATGCTATCTATGTGTCCATAATTAAAAGTGTTAAATTAAGGAGTGTTCTTATCCAGATAGGTTGATATATATATAATTTGTTTTTGAAATACGAGTACTATTTACAATTTCTGAATAATTATGGAAGTAACAGGGGGGAATATTCGACAAATATTTGCCTACATTCGACCTATTATCATTTTTCAGTTTATCCTTTCTCCGGATAGGTGAAATATGTATAAATTAAGTAATATTTATAGAAAATTGTGGAATAAACGGGGGGAATATTCGATCAGAGACTTTAAGGGAAATATAATATTAATATAATATGCAGGATCAGGCGAATTGAGATGGAAACAAACCTCGAGATTAATTAAGAACGAGTAAAGTGGTGGGCATATTGTCTGATACAGGAGAATAGAATTTAAACACTGAACCAATAGGGCTAGAAATACACTCGAATAATAAACGTATGGACAGCCAAAAGATGAACAGATGGTCGACAAATATATTACAATGGGTCCTCTCCGTTACTCCATTCAGCTCGACATATGCGATCCCTCTCTTTAGCATCTGTACGGTAAAATACGAACCATCATCTTATAGTCTCTAACATCAAGACGTATTGGTAAACTCAATAGTATTCTACGTCTTATTAACAGAGACTACTCAATCGATGCAAAATGGCGATGTCAAAAGACGGCCGTCGTGGATTCGACATAAAATCCGTTTTAAAAGGTTGTTTGCCGGAAGATCGACTTCAAAATGGTATGTAATTTAGTACTTTATTTTAGTTGTGAAATAGCCATATTGAAATTTATATGAAAACCAAGAATCTGGTGTATTTTCGTGGATGAAATTGGTCGAAATCCTCGCTTGGTTTATGTTCTATTACCTAATTAAGCGCTCCACTATGTTTCTAGTAGGACTTGATATTTATTCATGTATTATGAGGCGAAAATATTTAATACTTCCTGTTTTTTTTCCCAGATCAAAATAGTAAAACAGAAGAACAATTGAACATGAAGACTAAACAAGAAAGAAATCACAGATTTGATGGTAAGTTGTCTGTTTTTTGGGGCTCTCATTACTGTATGACATGGATGGACCCTAAATTCTTAGTTATTACTAGCAGTATTGTGGGAGGGAGGGGGGGACAGAAAATAAGCCCAGATTTGACACATCCTATTATAAATTCATTCATTCATTCATTCATTCATTCATTCTGTATTATAGATCAAGAAGAGAAGGGTGTATATAGTTCTGAAAACAGTGCTCCAGTCAGTATTAGAGACAGTATGGAGACCAAATTAAAACGGAAGGCTGTAGAGGAAGAGAGTTTCCCAACAAAGAAAATCCGAGGAGATCGAAAGGAGGATGATAGAGAGGGTCAGGATTACAATGGAAGTGCGTTTAGGAAAGTTGGATCAGCAGCTCTGGTTGAAGGAGATGATAAAGAGAGTCTAGGACGAAGAGAGTGGGAGAGATTGCAAGCTAATCCTAATGAAGCTAAAATACCTCTAGGGTTGCCCCCTGTACCACCAACCCTAGCCCCACCAACGTACTTGACTCCACCTGGAGGAAACCTATTCAACCCTTTCCTGGGTCTTAACATGCTGCAACAAGCTGAGATGTCTTCCATGCTGGCAAACAAAGCTCATATCTTTACAGAACAAAATTTATTGGATGCGTTTGGCAGATCTGTGGCTGCTTTACCTACACCACTCACCGAAAGTTTAGCCAATGTCAAAGGTCATACGGAACCAATACCTCAAGAAGAAGAATCCAATATGCATTTAAAAAATAGATTCCCTTTTAATCAGATAGTCAATCCAATGGTGGAAAAGCTAATACATAAAAACACTTCCCCACTCTTGATCCATTCTCCAATTAACGCGGCTAACTTGTCTCAGAATTGGTGTGCAAAATGTAACGCGTCCTTCCGTATGACAAGTGATCTAGTCTACCACATGAGATCTCATCATAAACGAGAGATCGATCCAGTAAAACGGAAACGTGAATCTTATAAACTGAAATGTGACGTATGTAATGAAGTTTTTAAAGAGCGACATCATCTAACGCGTCACATGACGTCACATTTGTGAAAATAAGTAACGTAACATTTTGATAGTTAAATCATTGAGTGTGTAGGACTAGTGATAGATTTCATTTGTTTCTAAATATAGACGAGAGAGGGAATTTCCAGGGATTCCCAAGATTATTACTAATGATTCTGGTATCTAATATAGTTGACTTCTAGAAATCTGATTGGTTGATATCATTACTGAAATAGAATCGGCCAATCAAAGTTCATAATTCAGATTCTGGTATCTAATATAGTTGACTTCTAGAAAGCCGATTGGTTGATATCATTACTGAAATAAAATCAGCCAATCAGAGTTCATAATTCAGATTCTGGTATCTAATATAGTTGACTTTTAGAAATCTGATTAGTTCATCTTTCAACTGTTCTTCCATATAACTTGATCTTCCACCTTTTTTACTTGTTTTGATTTATACTCTTTTGGAGAGTCTCCATAGCTGATTTTTACATTAATGCATAGGCATTGGGGTGGGGAGGGAGTCTGGTTTGCCCAAAGTCAGTCGAACCACTACTCCGAGAGCATCACTTTAAAACACTACTAGTCTGCCCAAGTTTAGTTTTCGGTCGCTGGCCAAAAAGATAATATTTGGGGTGCAGCGCTTCCCCCCATCCCCCTTGCCCAGTTATTTTTGGGGTTTTAAAAGGCAATATTTTGTTTATTTTTATGGATTTTTGTTTGTTATAAGTTTACAATTGTTAATTTTTATTTTTATATTTTTCTGTGTAGCTGCTCTCAGTTTTGTGTAGAAATGTAAGTTGAAAAAACGTGCCCCTGATATCATTTATGTCAAGTGTTACTTTATGCCCTTTATATTTGCCCTGGGTTAGGTTCATTAATCTGGCCAAGGGTCCCAAAAATCACTTGTTTTTTTACCAACAAACTAGAAGCAATAGATCAAATTAGCTGTATAAAATATTCTGTAGTCCATTATTGATAGAATTACATTATTTATTATTACTTGAAAATAAAACTTGTAAAAAATTCTTTCTCTTTCTTCGTGTGTTGATGTTTCAAAGTGTAAAGAATCCCCTCCCCCCAAAAAAAAATATCCCCCACCCCCCAAGGAAAAAAAATACATGGAGGGGTAGAGGATCAACCCAAATAAAGATTCTTATTAGTTAAATCACAAAAAGGAACATCCATCAAAGAATGATATAAATAATTAAAGATTTGATCAGAAAAATTGAGAAATATTTGTAGTCTGAATATTTTATTACCTCCCCTTGCAACTCTCTAATAATTAAGTTATAAAAAAACCACCAGTAAATTCATAATATTTACACTTTTGGTTTTTGTAGATTGATGAAATCGCTTGAAAATGGTGCTTTGCAAATATTTCCAACAGAATCGGTGCCGTTATGGCAACAACTGTCGATTTGAACATGACATCGGAGGTAAGTTAGCATTGTTTAAGGATAAATGCCAAAAATCCAAGCTTACCAGTCACCGAGTCAGAACTCCCTCCCCCCCCCCCCACCACTAACAGTACCCATCATTGAGTTCTTTCATACTTGGTGCTGCATGCCTCCATTTTCTGAAGTCTTCAGGCCCTTGACAATTCATGCCCCAGCTCACCCCCTCCATCTTATCATTCCTAGATAAGCCACTAACCCACCCCTTCCACCATGCGCATTGGATATTGACCGTTGTTATAATTTTTTGTGATCATGTCAAATTTGCTTATTTCAGGAGGTGCCCAAAGACAGTTGAAATTTGATACTGGAGGAGGAGGTGGTAGAGATAACAACAGATATAAATGGACGGCTCAAAATAACAATAATAATAGTGAATCTCAGACCAACCCTGAGGAGATAGTGTAAGTATTGTTATTCTAGATCATACACCATAATAGATGTGTACAAGTCTAGCGGCTATACTTCCTACTGTAGATGAAACTAAATCTAGCTGCTACAGAGTCCTAATATTGATTCTTGTACCTAGCCGAAGGAGATTGTGTAGGCATTATATAAGAACTAAACTACCAATGTTGTGCTAGACTTAGCAGGCCCAGAAAACAGTTTTTGTTTCTTGAATGTACCAAATTTAGATCTGACACAGGCTCTATAGGCTACACAGTAATATTTTCAATTTTCAAAATAGAATATCAATTATTTCTTCTGTATAGCATTATCCATAATATATTTTTATAATTCCAGCTCCGGTCTGAGACAGAACATAGAGACATGGGAACAGAGTAAAATGTGGCCGTTTTCTTGTATGGCTCTAGAGAAAGACCAACCTTGTATGCCAGGTAATTATTGATTTAATAATTATAAGATTTGAACGTTTAGAAGAAGATAGCACATTAACAAAAAACACAAGGGAATATATTATGACTTCCCCTTTTTGCTATATATTACCATGTTCACCCCTCTTCTTCATTTCATCTGATGACAACACGTGTAAATTGTGTTGAAATGTTATCTAGTTTTTTATAGTGTGTTACATCATGATATTCACCTGTGTTTTATATTTAATTTAGAGTTCACAGATATAAGTGCTGATGAATTAAGATGGGAAGCGTATCAAGCTATTAAAAGTGGAAATCTCATGGCTTATGTAAGTTCTCTTGAATTTATATTCCAAGAACCAGCTGGTAGACGTGATCCTTATGAACTTAGGTTGCCAGAGTCTTTATTCATCATTTATCATGCTTCTATTTTGGCTTGAGTTTTTGACACTTTTTACCCATAATCATTTAAAGGCCATGATTCACCATTTTTAGGGGTTGAAGGATTAAATTTCGCGGTGAGCTGTGAATACTATTACTGATGAGCTTAATTGAAAAATTCGGTTTCTGAGACTAAGTTACAATTAGTGAAATGGATGGTGAATCAGTCCCTTTAAGAACTGATATACTGAGCTGACCTGCCTTGCATTCAGTTGTTTTATTTTTAAATCTTAATTTAGATTATCTTTTTTTTCAGACAGAGAAAGTGAAACAGTTGACTGAAGAATACAGAAGTAAACATTTGTTATTAAAACATCCTACAACAGAGATAAAAAATCAACTGGTATGCTACTTTTTTTATTAGTATTTCTTCTTAGGACAGGTGTGCCACTTGTAGGAGTTGATATGGATCTTGAGTATATGTAAATAGTCTTCAGAAATGTATGAAAATCGCATAATTCCTTCAAATATACTTCAAACTAGGAATTAATTATGGCTTTAAGATACTTAGCTTCTTCAAATTCTAATATTTTGTTATATTTATTTTTAGGTCCAGTTTATCAACAGTTATAGACAGAATAAAAATACAGATTCTAAGTAAGTTGTAAATTAAAATATCTGTTTTCTCCTGTTTATTCGCGGCGGATGATATAGCCTCTTATTGTTTGTGTCACAAAATCCCAGCGTTAGAGAGGGCAGGAATGTGATTGGCTGGTAGTGTTATCAAAGGCAAAGGCTGTCTATAGACCTTAACTGAAGTGGCTACATTAAAAATAAAAGCTAACGTTTTGTTTCATTTTAATTAGAAAATCGGGACATAACTGTTTATTTTATATCATTTCAGATCTTCATTTGTGAAACCATCAGCTTTTGGAGGTAAGAAATTGGTTTATCAAGGTATTGACTGATATTTGATTTTGTTACATCCTAGAGTTAAGATCGTTTTGAGAATATGTTGTAAGAATAGTAGATAAACCATGTATAACATATAACTGTGTTTTCGCTTGTTGTCGAGTTTTGTTTTTAATTCTATCTCTTTACCTTTCAGGTCCAGGATCTAGTAACGCAGGATCAGCATTTGGTGGTATGACGTCAACAGCTGCAGCAGCAAGCCCCGGCTTTGGAGGTCAGAGTTCATCCTCTAATTTATTCAGAGGTCAAAGTGCATTCGGTGGCCAATCAACAAATAGTGGCAGTGTTTTTGGAGGGCAAAGTGCAACTTTCAGAGGTCCTAGTTCATTTGGTGGTCAAAATAGTGAAACATTCGGAGCGCAGAGCAATGCTGGAAGTATTTTCAGTGATGCAGCGAAATCCAGTGCATTTGGAACGAATCCAGGCTCAGGGTCAGTCATGGGTCAACCTGCAACTTTTGGACAGACGTCTTCAGAGTCAATTTTTGGACAAAGTTCATCTGAAACCCCAGGGAGTACTCCTGGTTTTGGACAGTCTGGATTCGGTCAAACGCAGTCTGGAACTCTCTTTGGGCAACCTCAAAATCAATCTGCTACTCCTGGGTCAGGTATGGGGCAGATTCAAAACCCCACAAGAAATTTATTTGGAAAACCTGAACCACCACCTGCATCAAGTTCAATTTTTGGTGCCAGTGGTTTCGGTGCTAGTGCCTCTGCTCCAGGAACGTCTGCTTTTGGAACCAGTGGGTCGGGTATTCAAGGGCAGACAACTAGTGATAATACAAAAAACACTGTGTATACTCCGTTAGATCAGTTGACGGCTGATGAAAAAGCTCAATTTGAGTCTGATCAGTTTACGCCTGGTCGTATTCCAGTTAAACCCCCTCCACGAGAACTCGTTAAATAATATTTCCCTCGCTCATTTACCTCGTACCATCACCCTCAAATCAAAATTCTGGCAACTTTTAAAATTTTGATCATGTGATTATGCTTTTTAATATTCTTTCTCTAGCACAATTTACTCATACTCCACAAATCCAACGCTGAAACTTTTCAAATCTTGATCTTGTAAAGACTTGATACAAATTTTTCACCTCTCAAATCTATCTCATGGTTAGCATTAGCATGTCTGATGGCAAAGGCAGCATTAGATGATCTCTTACTGTTTGGCACAATACTGTCAATTGAGAAATTTGGGTAGAAAACCAAATTCTTTATCAAATTTAGAAGTAATTATAGCTTGGTATAATATGGCAAGGGTTTTAATGTAGATGACTCAATACCCTTTGATAGAGCATTACAATAGTGCTGGGGCATTCACTTTAAACTGCTCTCAAGTGCTTTCCATTCAATTTTAAAATGTGTCAATAAAATATTTTGTAATATTATAAAGTCGTACAGTTTACTTTAAAAAGCCGCTGTGTGTCCGTCTTCCGAAATTTCTGTCTTCCGTCATACGTATGTTAATGCTAGGACAATAAAATGATGAATCGTTATAGCATCACCGTTTGCGATTACAAATAACCCCTTTCTTGATCAAACGCTAGGTAATATATATATATGTGACAAATTGATAAGACATCTTAGATGTAGTATATTTTTATAACTCATGTATAGCAACAATCAATAATAATAATAGTCAAAAAAAAGGAATTTTAGATCAATTGTATAAGAAAATAAGTCATGAAATGAAATAAAGACAGGGTTATTATATAACCGTCTTATTTCTCTCACTGTGTCTTCTTCTCACCTCTTCCTTTAAAATCATCCATACAATTGGAAACTTCAAAAAAATTGGACAGAATATGGCTGCACTTTGTTGGCAGAATTCTGAAAATGAAAACAGATATTTTGATAGTCGTTTCGAAAAAATAAACCTAGAGTATAACTAACCTGTCTCACTATGGTCTAAACCCAGCTCATGTTCCCTGTTGGTGGGTGACCTTGTAACCTTGTTTCAGAAATTTAGTAGCTAAGCTTATCAGTAATAGTGTTCACAGTTTAAAATTATTAGTTTGTAATTTGAGAAAAATGAATATAAGAGACCTACCCCTTTAAGGCAAAGACTAAGTATAAAGATTTTGGTAGTACTATAATTTCTTGGTTGATTAATATAGCTGTCATGATACTGTCCACAGCGTAGTCTGGATCTAAGATTGGTAGCAGCAGTGGAAATCTGAAAGAGTTAAATTAAATATAACCTAAGATTCCTGACGGCATGTCTAGAAAATGTCCGAGGATGGGGTCAAACTGAGGTGTCTCTCGGAGGTAAGGCCCGCACAGCTGGAGCCCCTTGAGACCCCAGAGAAGCCAACAGGTCCAACTCATGCACTATTGTAAGCTTTTGTTTGGTATTTGTTTGTTTGTTGCTGATGTACAAGATTTTGCCCATGGATTAGGCTTTGATAAAATGTAAGTTTTTCTCTAGATGATTAAGTTTCAGTAATTACCTTGTTTTGACGCCATCGAACATGCCAGTATTGATAAAGTAAGGGCAGACAACTGTTGTATGGACACCATCTTTACCCAATTTCTCCAGTTCGAATCTCATCGACTCATCAAAACCTACAGCAGCAAATTTACTGGCACAATAGTCAGCTAATCCAGCCACTCCATTGAACCCTGCCGAGCTGGCGATGTTCACAAGATGTCCATGATTTCGCTCCATCATACCAGGTAGAAAACATTTGGCTGTCTGAAATAATCAATTTGACAAGACATAAGTTTGATTTGATTAAAGAGTTAATTGATATCACAGACTAGGTAGTTCTAGGTAGTGGTAGTTGTTGGATTGCTTCTATTGGATGATTCTGTTGGTTTGGAAGTTTATCTTCATAAAAATACCAGTTCTTTTTAAATAGAGTTAATAGTGCTAGTCCAGCTAGGTGTAAACAGAAAGAGTATCCATTACTCACCAGGACTCTTGATCTGGCCCTATTTACCAGACGTGACTGACAGGGCAGCTCTAATGTCTGGGAATCAAAATATTATATTATTCACATCCCCATTCTAGCATGCCCTTTTCGTGTAAAGACATGAAAATATAGGTGACTCACCCAGAAATGTGCCATGATATTGACATCCATGGTTCTCTGTATCTGATTATCTGTACATTGTAGAAATTTATTACCAGATACAATACCAGCATTATTGACTAGAATATCTATCTTTCCTACTTCTTTCTTCACCTACAACAGGACGGGAGTTACACAATATTAGGTTGTAAACAGTTGGTGGGGCTGGAGCCTTCACTGATTCCTTCCCATTTACTGAAGGTGACTCAATAATAGGGGCAATATTTAGTTTGAAATTGTTGTGTATTGCCATTGTGCTTTTAATTTACGTCCGAGGGGGATGAGATATCTGAGATTGTCTGAATCTCTAACCTATTTATAGATTTTTGTCTGAAAAACTTGCTTTCCCGGCTGCGAGGGGGGGCAGCTGCCCTTTGGCGCCGCCACTAGTTATAGTATCTTACTGTTCATATTGAGACATCACTTCTAATTTAAGAATGAGTTTGTTTAAACGTCTGAGTAATTTGACTAATTCAACAAGAGTTACTGACCTTGTCTGCAGTTTTATAGATTTCTTCACGGCTGCTTAGATCTACAGTATAAATCGACGCTTTGATTCCATAGTTCTGTATCTTAGCAGCTGTTTCTTGCATTCCTTTTAAATTGATATCCCATAATACTAACTTACATCCTTTCTCTGCAAACTTGACTGCCATTAAACGGCCTATACCTGAACCTAGGAAACAGAATTAGAAAGTTATTAGATATGTTGTTCGGCCATTCCATCTAAAGCTTCATACCCCTGGAACGAGTTGTAGCTATTGATTAGGGTTCCTAGTTGTCAACACTAAATAGACCATGCCTCGCCAAAACCCGTCAATATTTCAACGGCAAGATTTGGGACAATAAGCAAACACAACAGGGGTCTGGTTTACGTGGACTCTCTTCTCTTCATCATATACATTAAGTAGATTGTAATATACTCGAGGTACATTTCGTATCAAAATATCGTACAGTTTTGAGTGTTTGACTGCATTAATCAGAAAACGTTATCAAATTTATCAGACGGTTTCGATTGTACTTACCAGCTCCTGTGACCAACACATTTTCTCCAGATATATCCTTCTTTGATCGCAAAAATTTGGGCACCAGGCACAAAAATATGGCCACTAGACAGTGGTAAAGGACCTGGGCTACCACCGTCAATGATTCAACCACCACATTAGGCATTTTGAAGCGAGCAATCCTCTCTGTACAAGTAAACAAACTTTGCTCTTTGAACTCTTTCAAGGGAAGTAACTCCATTTACATTACATTCTTATGAAGCTCAAGACTACAATTAATTTCTTAATTTGTCTCATAGCGACTCTGACCATGAGAAGGGGTGTTTTGTTTATGGAAATGTTTTTAATCGATGTTAGATTCTTTAAGGGAAAGAATAGTTTTCAGATGAATCTTTAAGCTCAGATGGATTGCAATCCACCAATTCATTTCTCTATTTTCTGCTCTTGTAAATCAAATGAAGGCTGGCAGTATGCAATGAGGGAATTTGATATGCCAGGACATATAACAAATACCAATTAACTGGCTTTTCCGACAGCAAAGAGTCAACGAAAACTGAACTTGTAGTTATAGGAAATAGGGTCTCTGTTGATCTTTCCCTCTTGCTCAACTTGTCATATCAGTACGCAATGTTGGAAATTATTACTGGACAATACTGGACATAAGCAAGTACCAATTTGTCCTTATGTTGTGGCAGAGCTGGGACTCTATTGAGGACTGTAGTTTTGGGAAAGTGGGCCGCTATTGATCTTCTCAACTTGTCTGATCAGTCCTAGAAAGGCTGGTGGCTAAAACAGTGTGCAATAAGGGCAATTCTTACTGCACAAAAAGGCAACTTATTTTAAAGTGGGCCCCCTACAGAGGACTGTAGTTGTTTGATCAGTCCTTGGAAGCTAATTAAGGCTGGACAAATAAGCAAGCTATTGTAAAGTGGACCCCTATTGATGGTTCCCTTTGGCTTGACTCGTGAGACGGCTCATTTCAGAATTCCACAACTTGCTGCGAAAATAAAAGAAAGCTTTATCATTATGGGATATATTTTATTGGATTATCTGACAAAGTTGATACCATCCTTGACAGGTGTCAATCACTTTCTTCACCATGGAAACCCCCCCTTAAACTAAGAGCACAGTTTGAAACAAAAGCCAGTCGGCAGTTTTTCTTCAATGACATTTAAAAAGTTTTTAAAAGTTTTCTTTTTTGTGTCGCTAATCTTGTCAGAGATATTTCTTCATTTTGTCCTTTTTCAAAAATAACGTGTCCATAATTTTCACAGTTAGTTTTTCGTACACTTTTAAAAAAATCACAGTTTTTAGACAAAAGGGTTACTTAGCAACAGTAACCAACAGTTTCAATAGTTTTAACACAAATAATGAGGTCTATATCACTTCTTTTTTTTTTTAGTTAAAAACAGTCTTCGGAGGGTGAAAGGTCTAGAACTCCTTATTTTTATAAATTATAACACAAAATAGTTCATTCTGTCCACGAATTACACGAAACAAAAATTTGACTGTTATTTATCATTAGATATTAATTAGTTGTCACAAAGGAGGCATGTCTAAGAGTTCAAACACACCTATATTTAGTAATAAGAAGGCGTGTCTTAATTAAGACACACCTACTTATCAAAGTACACTCCCACAATTTTTAAAATCAAAGTTTATAATGATTATATGAATTGTTTTTAAATCTATTTGGGCCAATCACTATGTAAAGAATTTGCTAATAATCGCTACAGTCGTCACTTAAAAAAAAATCTCAGCCTCTCCCGTCCAAAAATCAGAATTGAATATTTCAAAATAAAAGAAAAAATGGGTACATCATCCACAAATATGGTTTTCCACCATTCCAAATTGATTATATATATTGAAACAAAAAAGTATGGCTCATTCAGGGGCAATAACTCAATTTTGTCGTGGACGACGGTCTTGTCGTTCCTGAAAAGATACAAGACAACCATTATTAAATGTATTTTTACAAATATAATTAAAAAAAGAGAAAGATAAAACCATGTTGACAGAAATCTTTAGGATGGGGAAAGTGGTTGATTACTCCAGAGTTTTATTTAAATGGGGCATTTACTAAACTGTACATACTGTGAGCTATAAACGTATTTAACTTGATCTATAATGAATCTGAGATCATACCTTTTGAGAGTTGCCTTGACCCTGGCCTTGACCTTGACCCTGACCTCCTTGAGGTCGAGAGGAGGAGCTTGAACTGGGAGCTGGAGCGGGCTCTTTAATTTGGTCTTCTTCTTGCCTCTTTTCATAGTGAACAAAGTCATCGAAAATAGAAGTTGTGTGGTGATAGTTATGCAGAATTTTCAACACTTGCTTGCCCTTCTCAGGGGGTACTTCCTGTGTGTCCCGTGAATTAGTTACAGGCTTGTTTTCGTTATTTTCCAATCGGATATGACGCAGGGATCCGTTAGGAATATCTTTCACATAGATCCACTTCACTTCGAACACACCTTTCCATTTATCCTGGCACCACACCCCACTTGTACTGTTATAATCAACAGCACTCATCATTTGTGCCATTCCACAGAAATGTCCGCTACTATTCACACTGAAGAAAAGGTAGAGTGGACCCTTACCTTCTCGTTCCCGATAAGCACTGTCCAAACGCTTGTTACCGTGCTCGGTGCTGCACCAGATGCTGTATTTAATCGAGCGGTGAATATCGTCCTCTGAATAACTCTTGATGATAAAATAACGCGCTCCTTTAGGATTCAAATTAAACTCCTTCGGGTTATACATATTAGCCGAACGCAGTTTGTCCAAAACCGGGTTTTTAGCGGGTGGAGCTGCAGGGGTGGCGTTATTGTATCCAGTAGTCCCATTAGAATTCGATTGGTTATGGTTGGCTGCTGTACCACCCGCGTTTGAATTATACGAATTAGATGACGTCATTTGACGTCTGGGTGCAGTCCAGGTCTGTCTTTGTGGAGGAGGTTGCTTAGTTCCCATGTTGCTACCTCCACGACTGCTGTCCCAAGTTCCAATGTCCATGTTGTGCGGCTTGTTTGGATTGACTGGAGCTCTTGGAATCAATCGTTTCATAGGTTGAGGACGAGCTGGTTGGCTAGCGATAGCAGCCCACGAAGTTTTTTTCGGTGCAGACGACATTGTCTGCATTTGGGGAGCCACTGAGCCTGTCACATTTCCGTTGTCCATTCCCATGTCACTAGGTCCGTTTTCGACCATGTTTTTATCATTGCCCAAGGACATTCCTTTCAGTCCCTGGTCCACACTGGTAATGTCATGGTCAAGGTCACCATTCATCATGTAGGGATCACCCGTCATCATTTCCGGTTGATAGTAGGCGTCTGTCTCTGCATACTGTCGGGTGTCTTTCCGACCCTGCCCCACGGAACCCCAATAATCGTTTGCACCAGTGTAATCCCAGCCGTAAGGCGGAAATCCAAAACTATTGAAAATTCCATTATAATCATACGTGTTCATTGAAAACATTGGTTGCTCTCCCCCGTTGGACCACGCCCCATCGTTCATTCCCTGACCCACAGCGTATGGAAACGGAGCTGTGTAATAGTTCGGAAGGAAAGAATTCTCCGCTACTCCGGGACTAGACATGGTTCCTGGCCCGTAGCTCGTCTGTAAAGAGAAACAATTTTAAAATTAGAAGTTGTCAGATTGAGATTTGGATTAATAAAATGGCTTGACTTGACTGAAGTATGGCTTACTTCTAGTGTTGCCCATTTGAAAATCATTACCGTATTTGAGGCTACGCTTCCATGCCTGTGTCAGTGCTTTCATAACATTACTTGACTGCAATGTTACATTAAATTCCTTTCTGAGTTCAGCCTTATATTGTGTCAACACTCACTTCACCTTACTCTTGGATACAATATATGTTTTCTGTTGTTTTTATGAATAAGTTCGTTGCTTAATCTGAGATCGTATTACAAGGGAGATAACTACCTGAGGTTGTTGTAAATATGCGTCAAACTTTTCCTCTTTATCTCTTCCTGGACCATTGGACACTGAAATTACAACATTTTATTGCTTCATTTCACAGTTTCAAATCATTAACCATTTATCTAACTTTTTTGAATAAAAAGTTTCATGTTGTTGGCCTTAATGCATTTTGTACAGATAGTTTAACTGAAGTAGATTCTATTAGGCCTAGTTATATAACTAACAATATTATTGATTTACATTAGATTTAGACATGCAGGTTCGTGAATCACAGATCAAACAAGTGTACAACAAAAGATGGGTTGTTTCCTTATGTTTCTGACGTGGCTTTCACTAAAACCGGTAATCAACAAAATAAAATAATGACCTCACCCCATTTCACACAAAATGGCCGATTGCAGTGCAAGATGTCAGTCAATATGCTGAAGAAATCGGTCAAGCAGAACAGGAATTTGATTGTACTTTTTAAAGATTATATGGCTTCGTGAAGACAAAAATTTGACGTTTATATTACAACTTAATTTGGATATGTCGTAGAAAACTAGACCAAAACTCATGTCCTATTTTCTTTTGGGTGCAAGAGGCGGGATTCTTTTTGACATGCGTGTCAGTGTGGAATCAATTCACGAGAAGTTTCGCTCCAAATTTTCTTGTATTTCTTACCTTGATTTGGTTGCCCTTTTCCTCTCTGAATTACGTCATATGAAAAAGAAAATGAAACCAGAATTAGTTGTGAAGGTGGTGAAGGATAGGGTATGGGGAAGTATTTTATGAGTATCCAAGATGGGCGCGTAGGAATAAGTAAGAAAGGTTGAAGCGTGGCTGAAGAGCCCGAATATTACCTGGTCGATTAAATCCGACATCACCCTAAAGTTACTAGTCTATTTCACAAAATATTTAGTTTATAATTGTCAGCACACACAGGGCTTTTATTTCACACTCTTTCTGAGAGGTCCAAATCACTGAATAAGGTTCCTGGGCACGATTAATTTCACAAAATTTCACTAACTCCCTTCCTCAAACACGGCTTGTAATGGCGGCTACGCATGTGCCTCGCTTCAGAGTTTGTTCACGTGACATGACCATGACGTCATATATCCCCTCAATCTTGCTGGTACACGTTTAACAAAGTATGTCCATGTTTTTCTCAAAATATTTCGTACGCACAAATATATTTAATCAAGTAATTTGCAGTTTAGACAAATTTACACCTTGTCACAGTAGAAAAATGAGCCTTCAGCTTGAAACGATTTAGCTATAGAGTCCAAAAACTGGGAGCGTTTCTTATAATGCCCGGAAATCCGGAAAGAATAAGAGCGAAAAATGTCAAATATCGTTTAAAAAAATAATATTCGTTACCTTTTCGGAGTCGTTATTGTCATTCCAGATATTCTCAAGCGTCTTCCAGTCTTTCATGATTTTTTTAAAATATGAAACTTGGTGCTGATGGGTTCGAATTTATGACATTAAGAATAAAATGCCCGTTTTACATACTCCGGAAAATATTTTCTCTAATCTGTCCAGTTCATAGTAGAATGTTTAAAATTGTATCAATGGTCTCTTTAAACCTTACCGATACAGTTACAGAGCCTTAACTGCTCGGCCATTGTTTAACAATAACAGAAGTCCGGAGGAAAGGGAACGCCCTTTCGAAATTATTAGGACAATGGACAATTTAGAAACAATCTAATTAGAAACTTGTGAGACAAACCGGCCATTTTAGAACAAAAAGGTAATTTTTGACGTGATTGTAAAAACGAGTTTAATCAAATCAAAGCCTTAATCCGTCTTAAAACTGAGGTTTTAAATTGGGGGGCTAATTAATCGAGATAAAGACATTCATATGTCTAATTAACGAACTGTCCTAAACTGAAACTGAATTAAAGAATTAAACTGATATGCTAATTAGTTAGCGATATCAGTTGGAATCGGACGTTAATTTGTCACGTCCCAGCCTACCTGCTAATTAGCGGGCAATATCCAGGAGAGGTGTCAAAAACAACAACTAATGGTGATAATTTGAAGCTACCTGTAAATCATCTTTAAAACTAACTTCGTCTTATACTTTGACAACAATAACAACCTTTCTTGTCCTTCGTAAAGTTATAAATGCAGCGTTTCGATTGCATTGTACGTTACGGGTTATTGGAGTCAAGGTATGAGAAGAGGTTCGTAATAGATTGACATTGTTCCACTGGAAGCTAACGTTAACTTGTCATCTACCTACCATGCTTGACATTCAACTAGCTCGCACATAAATGTTAGTTTTCTGTGGTCTGAATGTTATTGCCTGCCCAATATGGGCGTTGGGTCTTTTAGGGGGTGATAAACTGAATATTTGATAAAATAAATATATTTCATAGTAACAATTAAATACGTTAAATTCCAGAAAACAATTGTAGTCTTAGTCTATTTGACTAGTTTATAGAGTTTTCTCCCTTGAAAATATCTTGTTATTTGTTGTCGTAGTCTCAATAAGCCAGTATTGATTATCTCCCATGTAATGTTAAATTCTTGTTCACTGAAACCGTGAATTTACAATATTATGTTTCCTAATAAAAATAAATTCACAATTAAAACAGTCACTTAGAAAAAGGAAAAATAAAGAAAACCAATAACTAAATATTTCCGCTACCAATTCACCGGAATGATGTAGTCATCTATCACAAATTAAAAATATTGTCCGGTTTTCCATTTGTTACCCGAATCAAACTATCCAATCCAATATCATTATTATTATAGTCTTGCGGATTATGATTGCATTTTACAGACGTATACTCTTGCGTAGACGATTTAAATGCGTAGTAAAATGAACACGTGTGTAGATAAAATGATAACTAGGATTCTGTTTTCCGTCCTTTGAAAGTGTCCATCATGTTGTTAGCTCCCATAAAATCACAGATTAAAAACAAACAGCGAGCTGGTAGTATCCTAGAAATATAAAGAAATAACAGTACTAGATTAACTCCACCCCATTCTTTAAAGACACTGAAAATACCCATGTACTAGGGAACTTGGTGCTCTAGAGACTGGGGGTACACATAGGAGGCACACTGACTCAACGAGGGGGACTACTGTCGAGGCTGAATGCAAAATGCGGCAACTCTGTGGAGGCGTCATGATCACAATGCTCTCAAGAAGCGTGTTTGAGGGTTCTCCCAAATTTTATTTCAAAAACTTCAACTGATTTGGTGCATTCTGAGGAGGTAGAGTCGTGTCTGAAAACCATTTACCTAGCCACCCTCCCTCTCTGTACCCCCACGTGTTTCCACAGTATGAGGGTATAATACTAATATAAAGGTAACCTACCCTTTTAACATAAGAAATAAGTATAAAGATTTGGGTAGATATAAAACATGTTGATTACAGAGAACAGCATCAATAATACCATCAGCTACTTCTTCTGGCGATAAACTAGGCATTATCAACGGGAACCTGAAAACAAGAGTTACGTCATTTTAATTAACCGGTCATTTAAAGGAGTTCACTAGGTCTACTATACAACTTTTACTTTGGTATTCGCAGGTAAAGTCCACCCACCGTTTGTACCCAGTAGCCGGGATCATTAAATAAATACATGTACTTACTTTGCAATGCACCCATCGAACATACCAGTGTTGATCAGAAAGGGACAGACAACCGTTGTATGGACACCATCTTTACCTAATTTCTCCAGTTCAAATCTAATAGACTCGTCAAAACCTACAGCGGCATATTTACTGGCACAGTAGTCAGCTAATCCCGATACTCCAACCAGACCAGCTGAACTAGCCAACGTTACAATGTGACCATGATTTCTTTGGATCATTGTTGGTAAAAACGCCTTCACTGTCTGAAAATGTAGAGGTTCTTATACTGTTAAAATGCACATGCATGACCTACATTTGGTTATCTGAATGCATAGTATGAACAGGTATTTAAAATAATACCCGGGTATACGTGAAGCTATAATTATTCATAAATAAGATTGGTAGATTATAGAATGCACGTGCATGATCCAAATGAGCATTCGATCCCCCTAATTATCGACTTACCCAGAAATGCGCAACCGAGTTGACCTCCATTGTTTTTTGAATCAATGAATCAGGACAATCGAGGAATTTTCTGCCGGTGACGATTCCTGCATTGTTGACTAACACATCTACTTGACCTACTTCTGTTCTGACCTAGAAAAACAGGATATAAAGAAAATCTTCAAGACACGTCTGGTATTCGAGAGCTGTTAATATACAGCTTCTGTTTTCGGGCTTTTCACTTAGCATCTTCATAAACATTTATCAAGCATACTTAATACATGGAAACTTTTTCTTAAAATTATCTATCTCTCTTTTCAGGTTAGTTCCAAGTGAAGAATGCACGTGCATATTAGTTGTCAAGATCTATATCAAGTAATTTAACAGAAAGATGAAGAATATGTAAGTTACATCCCAGCATGGGCGTTAGTTATTCTCCAATCTTCTCTGCATATAATATCACACATAGAATACCTTTTCCGCCGCTTTATAGATGTCCTCTCGATTGGACAGATCAACAGTGTACGTCCGAACTGTTACACCTCGTTTCCTCATTTCCTTCGCCGTCGCTTCGTTTCCAGCTGTATTGATATCCCATAATATTAAACGACATCCTTGATCAGCGAATCGTTTAGCTAATAGACGTCCAATACCACTACCTGAAACAATATGTTATAATAAGGCTGGGAATTCTATATCAGAAGGTTATCCGTATTGCTTCCGAGCTTGAAAATCGATACCCTGTTCGTCGACAATGAATAAAAGCGAACCCAATGTCTTATCCGCGGACGTAACGACAATTTTATCGCAGTTATCCAGACCCTTGCTACCTTGAAGACCGTGGAAATTTTGATGTTTGATGAATTACAGCTGCCAAAGTAGATCTGGTCTACTAGTCTACACTATAAAACAGGTTTGTATAACAAGTGTTCTCATAACTATAAGCATAATATGCCATAAGGGCAATATCAGCAAGTGCCATGTACTTAGTATATCACATCTCGCTGGTGGGTTTTTCTTTACTACATGTATAGTGATACAAATTTGGATAATGTTGGAATTCAAACGTCATATCCTGTTGTTGTATAAGGTATGACATTATAAAGTTGAAACAGTGCCGTGTTATCAGTATATTGCTGCTCGCTGGTGGGCTTTTCTTTACCTTTTTCTTAATGAAACAGCTACTTACCCGCCCCTGTGATCAGAGCTGTCTCTCCTGAGATATCCTTACCCCTAACACTGGAGGGTAGGCAAGCTAGAACTATAGCTTCTAGCCAGTAGTAGAGTACCTTAAACAGCACCACCATGGTTTCTACCACTATCTTCATCTTGGCTCGATCTTTTCGCTACTCGATCTGTAATAAAAATCCATACAGGCAACACAATTCCATTAAACAAAAATTTAGTCCGAAGCATGACAAAATCTGGAGTAATATGGGCTCCTCCAAGAGAAGCTCTAATGGTTGTATCGAACAGAGTAAGCAAGAATGATGATAGACATTGACAAATCTAACATAGGACGGCCACAACGTTTGTAACTAACGATCTACCTTACAAGTTCTGCTGGCGCTCTGCAAGAATCAGTTGTACGGAAACTGTCGACGATTGCCGAGTGTGTTGGTACTCATCGTTCTTAATAATATTGATATACATACATATATATTATAGTATATAGATCTATATACATCTGTCGTCCTCTCGATGACTTTTAAATGTCTGGAGGGTAGGGGTTATCTTACTGTCATCTCAGTACACTGGCTGGTCAGCTGGTCACTCGGGACAGTTGCGTATTAAGAGGGGGGGGGGGGGGGGGTGCAAAGGTGTCAATATATTTTGTATTTAGATAGGGAGGTGGGAATATTTTTACCAAATTACTGAGAGATTAACACGCCATATATCACAGTTTATTATGTTTTACTCAGTTTACTTTTGAGAGAAATTGGAATGGTGGGGGTGGGGCGTATAAAACATAATTTATAAGCTTAACGCATAACATTATCGCAAATCTTCAAGAATCTTTGAAAATAATACTATATATTTACTGTAGTTTCTTTCTCTTTTGTAATCGTATCCCCTGACCAATTCGTTACACTCTCCGATACTCTAATACCGATTGTAATGTAACCTTTCTTTCTGTCTAGTCAAGTATCTGTTAAAAATATTAATATTCACTTACCTTTAAATAGTAAATAATATATTAGACCGATTTATCAATTTATACAGCCCATTCAAGTGTAGAGTTATATTTTAGCCTGCACCACTTCAATAGACCACTCTTTACCAGTTTAATAAACTAAGTTAATTTTTATATCAGTCCAAAGTACAAGGCGAATATCTACTGTTGTCCTAGCTAGTAGTTTGGTTTAAATATATATATTATAGGTCACCGTATTAAATCAGATAAAAATATCTATTTCACAGATATGTATCTCATATCAATCAATAGTGGCTCAACTACCACAGGGACTGGTTGAACCAAGTCTACGGGCCCATGTCTGCAAGGGGCCTAAGCCTTAGAAAAAAATGCAGGAGAGGCCTCAGCGCATTTCAGTCGATGGACCCCCACCCATTAAGTTGAGTCAAAGTAAATGAAGACGTGAATGAAGTGTGGTTCGTTATCAATAGAAAGAAAGAGTTTATCAATGAGTATAACTGTAATTTTGATATGAGAAAATATAATGCATTATTTCATATCAATGAATGAAGACGTCCAGTGCTTTTAATTTTTATGTTGAGGTTCATTTACTTATATACATTATTTGGTGGTAGGGATTGGGAAGAGTCGATAGCTATCTTATTGAAGGCAGATGTTTTTCTCTGCAGGCCCCCCCCCCCCCCCTTTTTTTTTGAGCCTACCCAATAGTTACCAGTTACAAAATAGAACAGCTGGGTTAAGTTAAGGCCTGACTATAAAACCCTAAATAAAATGCAAGTGCCCTGGACATTTTGAATACTGTAAACTGCCACTGTGCTGTTTTGACACGATGAACGTGCAAAGAAGTGTGTCGCGTTTAGATATTCGCGGAATACATTTCAGTAAGCAAGTCCGACTTAAGAAACATGGCGGCCTCCTTCGCTTCAGTTTAGTAACTCGTTTGTTTATTTAAAACATTAGCAGAAACAATGGCTAAATTATGGAGAGGGTACCTGAGGATATTAGAAAAATATCCCACTGCTACCATGGCTACGACAACAGGTAACAGTTTTACTATATTAGTTTGTTGCATTTCGAGTTGTTGGCATGGTAGACGATTCGACCTTGTGAATAAGTTTTAAGACGGGACGAACTAAATGTAGTCAATTCGACACCTTGGATAATATTCAAAAAGAGCAAAAGAGTTCTTTAACTGACATACTAACATAAAGCAAAGTGTGTTTTGATATTTTATCATAGTAGGTTAATACTAGTGTAATAAATACTTAAATCGAATGACCCCTCCTCTCCTTGTGTTTTGACAAATCCCTGCCCCAATTAAAGTTTGATTTTTATAATTATAGGAACATTAATGGCTACAGGTGACAGTATTAGTCAGCTGGCTATAGAAAGAAAGGGAAGAAATTATGATGTTATTAGAAGTGGACGTTTTCTAGTCTTTGGTGTGTTTGTCTTTGTGAGTAATTATTGTATATTTTTACAGTAGCCGAATTCCCTAAATCCTCAGGCCGCTTCTTCTCTAGGATGTCCTAGAGTCTTTACTTCTAACACTGTTTCTGGGATATCCTAGCGCCAAGATCGTTTCGAGAATACATGGTCAATGTAGGACTCTAGGCATATGAGAAAGAAACACTCGTTAATGCAAGCTCTGATATTGGTTTTTGTCATTCTATTGTTAAAGACCTACAGGGGAGTAAGAGGGGGGTAAAAAAATTCTGACAACTTACTGATCAAGTCCATTGCTGCAACATCATACACCATACACCATCCAGATATATTACTTGCCACTCCAAACAATCAAGTCTGGCTACAGGCCTGGTTAAAGGAATTTAACCTTATAGAGCAAACACAAAATGAAACTTAAATTCTCTGGTTCTTAGCTGGATCGTTCTCTTTTCCTCAAGACTAATGATATTTGATATATTTCAGGGTCCTGTTATCCGGGGCTGGTATTTTATTTTAGATAAAATGTACAAAGGAACGAAAATGGCTCCATTGAAAATGGTAGTCACAGATCAGGTAGGTGGAGCTTTCTTTCAAAATCTTTATAAGTTGGTGTCAGGCAGGGTATGCTTACTCTGATACCACTTTTCATTATGAAATACTTACTCACTTATAATTGATATACCTCCTCATGTGAAAAGTTTATTAGCTGTTATTAATATGTTGTTTGGATCTGTAGGGTGTTGTTTTACAGTTCTGATTGTTAGTACTTGGTATATTTGTAATGTATTGGTTATAATTATAATAATTATATCTATTTTTCAGTCGTTATTTGCCCCAACAGCTACTGGTTTGTTTTTATCAGGAATGGGTGTTTTAAAAGGTGAAACTTTCACAGAAATAAAAGAGAAATTTAAACAGGTAAGCCATAGCTGTTTTTTTTACTGAAAGAACAGAGACTTTCTTGGGCTAAAATATTGCATACACAATTTCTATGGCACAATTTCTCCCATAGCCTTGATCATCCACTCTCAAATCTGTGGAGAACTGCGAGGATATAGGGCTTTATAAATTCAAAGACAAGACAACTGTAATAAGTATTTTATTTTTTAATTTCAGCTGTTTGTACCAATCCTTATCAGTAACTATAAAGTAAGTAGTATATTTTCAAGTCTTACGACTGTTTAACCAACCTCCTAGACATTATTACGAGACAAGAGCTATTGATGCTACTCTAGCCACTGTTTTACCTTGTACCAGTGTCTTTTGTTGACTTGTTACTTGTTACCTTTCAACCACCCTGTATTTTTTCACGGCTATTGATGCAGCCATTTCCCACTGACATTACATATGGGTTACTCTAGAGTTATTGCCCCTGTTCTATGAAATAACAGTAATGTATGTTATATTATAGATATGGCCAGCAGCTCAACTTGTTAACTTTTATTTCATGCCTTTACAACACAGGTGAGTCCATGTTTCTTGATTTAATATACAATCTAAATAAAAAGTGAACAAAAGTTGTAACTCCAATCCAAACCATAACCAGCTTTTTTAATTAATATCTAGCACAAAATTACAGCATGAATTGGCTGAGATTGTTTTGTCTGTGTTCAGTGAATTGTATTATATTTTTCTTGAAGTTCTAAATCTTAGATTCAGCAGATTAAAAATTAGTTGACCCCCCCTGAAACACTTAACCCACCCCAGAGAGACTTTGGGCTAGCAATGGGCTTAGACTTGGGCTAGCAATGGGCCTCGTCTCCTTGTTCTATGAATGTTTCCTAGGAATCGAATCTGCTTATTTCAGGGTTTTATTCGGTAATTTTGTGTCTCTGGGATGGAGCACGTATTTAGCATGGAAAACAGAGTCCACAAAGAAATAGACCAGGCAAGGATCACCCTGTAGGCTCGTCTCAATATACCCTACACATCTAGTGTATATACCCTACATCTTCACAATGTCAAGTTATCATAAACTTTGTCTTATACCTTGACTGCAATAGTAACCTTTCTTGCACCACAAAATGTAGCGATTTGATAGGATTGTACTCTAGCAAATGCAACCAATCAGAGACTTCAACAGAAAGTCTTATAACAATAAGCAATAATATACAGCCTTTCTGTCGAGGGCTCTGATTGACTGTAATCACTAGCATACAGTCCAATGAAATTGCTGCATTCTATGACATACGAAAGATTGCTATTGTAATCAAGGTATAAGATGATGTTTTTAATATCTTGACATTGTGAAGTTGATCACTATAATCCTAAGTGCTTCTTTCAATCTAACCCTGTTTCATCAAGGCTGTAAAAATGTAGTAGCTAGGCTATCTGTGTAGTTTGTAGTCTATGGTTGCTGTGTATATCAACAGTTGATGTGTGTTTTTATGTTATATTTGAACCAATATCGTCTAACTAACTAACATAGTTTTTATCCACTTTTATGTAAATTTTTAACGCATGGATAAAGAGTCTAGTCGTTCAGAAGGGACAATAAAGATCCCTCGACAGTTGGAAATCGAAAAAGAGCGGGCTAATGCTGCTGTCCTGTAAAAGTTTCCCTCATTGTGCAGAAAAGTAGGAAGTAAAACTCCATGCATTTCATTTTTGGATATAGCATGTTAATATTATGTAACATCCAAATGGCCTTATGTGATAAAATATTTTTGCAATTAGTTATCGCGTCATCAAACACTTAGCATGAGTGGTATATTGCACGAACCACAGACATCTGATTGAAAATTGTAATGGTGTAAATCGATGCTATCAGTGTCCCTGATACACATACAAAATTTAGAACATATCCGATTTCTGTTATCACATGATATTTCTAGGCCCTATTCTGTACTATATTTAGTTAAAAGAAAATATAATTTTGTTTATATATTTTAGAGTGTTGTTTGTTAACTTTGTGGCGTTGGGTTGGAACACGTATTTAGCCTGGAAGTCTGAGAAATAACGCCCATGTTCTTTCTTTCATGTGGTGTCAATATATGAACATAAGCTAAGTGAACTCTCCAAATGAGATATAAATATATATATATATATATATACATACATAAACATTATATAGTGATTTAGCTTTGCGGACTCTGAAAGGGATGCCATTAATATAGTGATTTAGCCTTGTGGACACTCTGTAAGGGATGCCATTTATATAGTGATTTAGCTTTGTGGACTCTATAAGAGATGCCATTTATATAGTGATTTAGCTTTGCGGACACTCTGTAAGGGATGCCATTGATAATATGACTGATTTTAAATGTGTTCATTAGATTTGATATTAATAGACTTCATGTAGCAAGAAATTACAAGCCAAAGTGATGTGTAACTATCTAGGAAGCAGGGTTATTCATCCTAGGCTACTCATTGTTCAAGGTGATAAATCAATATATGGAGTATAATCATCTGCTGGATAAATGATTGACTTCAAAATGACTTGTAGACAGTTCTGTGTGTAATTCAAAATGTATATATGGGATTATGGAGAGTGTTGTTGCAAAGTAAGGTCTGGTACTATCTATATCAAAGGGAACCCCCAAAGATTCTCAAACTGGATGATCAGTGCTATCAGTATTAAGACCATGTTATAATTTCCATGGAGTTTAGAAGTCGGAAGCTTGTTTGATTCTGGAAATCCACAAATCTATCTGTCTTCTGTATTAAATCATTTTTTTTTAATGAATACTCTCTCTCTCTCTCTGTTTCTGTCTGTCTGCATGGATGCACCTTGACAGTGTGGGATTATTCTGCAAACTCATCTTACATATAACCCAGATAAACAAAAACATACCAATCCAACATTTTATTACATAATTTCATTCTATTTTCTATTCATTTGGCAACAAAACTTCAACTTAACACTTTCCCAGAACAAGTTGTCCATTCACATTGTTTTACAGTCAATTTGTCTAAAACTGTCCATAATCACCAACACGAACGTTTAAGACCGCTCATTCTATTATAGTCTACCTGATCTCTCCACACGATACGACTTACTCGCCATTTATCCATCAGACCTCTAGGTCGTGAAGTTAACACACATCGTGGCCATAGCCTGGACTGGCAAGTATTTAATTCCATCTGTTTGATTTCTTTGTCGGCTATTTCCTAAAATAATTTAAAGGTGCCAATTAAAATCACAAAGTGAGAAGATAACATTCTGACTGCGTATTCTGGAAACGATCATAGCGCTAGGATGTCTCTAGGGTCTTAACTTTTAACATGGTTTGTAGGACAGGTAGCCAATGATGTCATTTACATTATCAATTGCTCAAGCAATTTTTTCCTAGGTTATTTAGGTTATACTCCAAATATAACAGAACTAATATTTACCTGCAGTTCTTTGGGTATTATTCCATTTTTCCTTAAAGAATTCAGTCGTTGTCTAACTGGAAATGTTTTCTGTACAATTTTACGTCGTTTCATATCACGCCATGTTCGACAGTCGTAATGTTGATTACGAACAGGTGTCACCATCTGATAGACTGGACGTAGCAACTTGTTTAGTTGGTTCCACATCTTAATTTATCTTCAATCTGTCAAAATAAATGTTAAACATTACCTCACTGAAACAAAAGATCTGTAGTTTTTACGCCCCTTTTCTCTGGAGCTCCAAAACATTTACCTTTTTATTAAATTAATTTTTAATTTCATTCTCCTTGTCCCTGCTGGGTGCAGTTGAGGCGAAGCTTTTGGCACTGTTGTTAATGTCCATCCTCTTGTGTTGTCGATGTGAAACTTAGCAGAAACCAGATAGCACAACAGGAAGGGGAGGGGTGAAACAGAAACCAATGTGCCAACTTTTTAATTGAAAGACTTTAATGTTCTTGAATTGAATAGTGTGTATATGATTAACCCACAGTTTCAATTATTCAGACCAGGTTTTCAAACACCTTTTATGTTACCAGAGGTTAAACTATTCAGTTGATAGTCATCATAAAGAGCGAGGGCATCCTCCAACTAAATTACCAAGTTATTTAGTAAAAAAAAATGGAGGTTTCATTATAAAATTTTACATGATGAAAGACCGCCTTTTAGCAGTACAGTTAGGTTTTTCAACCAAAAGATTATTTCGTTTACTGGTGCAATTATTGATTTGTTATCTGTGATGTTCTACATCGCCGTGGGTGTCGTGAAAATTGTGCAATAACTCGATTTACCGTTATATTATGGCATGACTTTCACGTTGTCAACAAAAAAGTCGTGAACAGGAAGTAGAAATATCAGTAAATTATCTCCCCTCCCTCCTCGTCATGACGTCAATTGCCAGACCCCTCTAGGCCAAGTATATATATCACGTGACCAGCCTCGTTCTTTCCTTTTCATTGCGGTGGCACCAAGAGTGAGCACGGTAAATTTTACAGTTACTTTTTCATCCATGAAATTTTACCGTTAGAATTGATCATCAGGGTTTACTTTTACGGTGAAATTGTTGACAAATGTTCAGGAAAGAAATCGATCGCCATTATGTCATAAATCGGAGCGATCTGTTCAGTTAATTTCCTGAATATATCTTGATCAATCTTGCCGGTTTACACGTCGCACATTTTGTAGTGTCGGCGATCTGGATATGTGATTGACGGAAGTATTGTTGTGATCAAGACATACTTGTCGAGTTCTACACTTTATAACATGTCATCAATTAACGACATCGTTTATTATGGTGTTGATTGACGATTAACGACTTGATTAACCTCATCATGGAGACAAAGAAATAGATCTACTGCGACTTTTGACTTGGTCTAATTACAAGCGGAAGTCCACGTGGTAGCCACTTAAATTCGTGGAAATTTGGATCTTGCATTCATAGAATTCTACTGACATTTTTCTAGTCACATTTTTAAACGATCGGGTTCAACAATTTTGAAAGAAACTGAATTTTTCGGTCGTCGATTGCCCAGACATGATGCAATATGGCGGCTCTTTGATCACATGAACCACGTGTGCGACAGCCATCTTGATTTGAGGTGTGCTTATGAAAGTGATATACTCTTGGGTCAAGGGGCCCTCTATTCATGTATATGTACATTGATATGAACTTAATTTGAAAAAAGGAAAGGATGTCTACCAATTTTCTTACAAATTTATTGTTTATTTCAGATTTTATAACACTTCTTAAAACAAATAACAAAAATGGGAAAAGATAAGGAAAAGATCCACATCAACATTGTTGTCATTGGCCACGTCGATTCCGGTAAATCAACCACCACCGGTCATCTTATCTACAAATGTGGTGGTATCGACAAAAGAACCATCGAAAAATTCGAGAAAGAAGCCAACGAGGTATGTATCCTGATCTTTTGGAAATCTGTAATAGAAACATAGGAATTTGGTTTACAGGACAGAGCAAATCTGTGAAGAAAATATGTTATTGGATTATCACTTGAAAGATTTTATCATGGTGTCTGTAATGCCCTGGGCTTTTTCGAATAACTAATATGATCTAGAAGATAACTAGACTTTATAACAGATAAAAAACTGTCAGTTTAAAGGAATATTAACGATTAATTTGTTCTATTTCAGATGGGTAAAGGTTCTTTCAAATACGCCTGGGTATTGGACAAACTAAAGGCTGAGAGAGAACGAGGTATCACCATTGATATTGCTCTCTGGAAATTTCAGACCGCTAAATACTATGTGACTATTATTGACGCTCCTGGACACAGAGATTTTATTAAGAACATGATCACTGGCACATCACAGGTAAGGAGATTCGTGTTTTTATTCCTCACCAGACAGTTGGCGGAAAGTTGGATTTGTCATTGTTCTCATTCTGAATTGTTTGCATAGACCAGTTCTTGAAAACTGACTGGTCAAGTCTTGAGACTTGAATAAGCTTTATCTTTTTTTTTTGTTTTTTTTTTACATGACTTGCATTCACATTTTACTTAAAAACTTAAGCATTCTTTCTTAAGAGTTAAATCTTCATCACATGAAGGCAATAGGTTTTAATATTAAAGAATCAAATTTTCAGTTGCGTTTTGCTTATGATATTGTATTTCCTCTTCCAGGCTGATTGTGCCGTATTGATCGTAGCTGCTGGTACTGGCGAGTTCGAAGCTGGTATTTCCAAAGAGGGTCAGACCCGAGAACACGCCTTATTGGCCTACACCCTGGGTGTCAAACAATTGATCATTGGTGTCAACAAAATGGACAGCACAGAACCTCCTTACTCAGAGTCTCGATTCGATGAAATCTGTAAAGAAGTCTCTGGATACATCAAGAAGATTGGTTACAATCCAAAATCTGTTGCTTTCGTACCAATTTCTGGTTTCCAAGGTGACAACATGTTGGAAAAATCCCAGAAGATGCCCTGGTGGAAACAGTGGAAGATTGAACAAAAAGACGAGAAGGGCAACATGCAAACCGTAACTGGTGAAACTCTGAGTGACGCCCTGGACAGCATCCAACCACCCAAAAGACCCACTGACAAACCCCTTCGACTTCCACTTCAAGACGTCTACAAAATTGGAGGTAAATATTTCACAATATTGATATGTGTGCACAAGTTTGATCATTGGTTTTTACTGGGAATTCAACTAAATGCTTTCGTGTGCGTATTAAACATGTGATTTTGCATTTATCATGAGGGCAGTACTGTAATTAACCTGAAATGGAGGGTCGATGGTGATGTTTGTTCGAGACCAATGTAAGCTTATACCTTGAGGAAGGATTCTACAGATGTATTTTGGTCTGATACATACTATTACAAAGAATTCTGCTAAAATGAAATTTTCCCCGACTGTGGGAGGGAGGGAGGGGCCAATGGATGTCCCATCTTAAAATGGGGAGGGGCAATGAATATACTTTCATCAAGCATTCTGCACAAATGCAGTACAGAAATGAAATATAGTTGTGATATTTAATGTGGGTTTTGTATTGTAGGTATTGGTACAGTGCCAGTAGGACGAGTTGAAACTGGTGTAATCAAACCAGGTATGGTCATCACCTTTGCTCCTACCATGATCAGCACTGAGGTATGTTAACACTCTAGATTTGTCCAAGGTTATATTCTAACAGAATCATCTGTGAGGTCATTAGTCCAAGCTAGTTTATATTTTAAAAGGATTTGGGTAGAATCTGAAGAGCGTGATGTTCTCGTTTATTCGGAGGGGAGGGGTCTTTAAATTAACCTGTAAAATTGATATTTAATGTGTCTTGTTTTATATTTCAGTGCAAATCAGTTGAGATGCATCACGAGTCTCTGACCGAGGGTGTACCCGGAGACAATGTTGGATTCAACGTTAAAAATATCTCTGTCAAGGACATCAAGAGAGGATTCGTTGCTAGTGACAGCAAGAATGATCCCGCCAAGGGAGCCAAGAGTTTCAATGCTCAGGTAACTATTGCTGAAGTTACATTATTATCTTGTGTAAGAGAAGCAGAATGGCAAAGGCAGCTGAATATCGTTCAATGGATGTTAAGGTTTTGATTTCCTGCGAGGACGAGCATGATGTGTCCTTATAGTACATCATTTGTTAAACCACTCTGCACGAAAGAAGTTAGAAGACTTGATGACTAAGACAAAGATAGTGGTGAGGGGGTGAGGGGCTCTTTCTGCACAAAAGGAGTTTTCTTGATAACTAGGGAAAGAAAGGGTATGTCCTATCTGAAACGATGAGCTGGTCAAGATTGTCACTCCTGTTTCAATCACTGATTGTATTTTGATGATAGAATCGTGGTGGGAAAGAGTTAAAATTTTGACATTTCCATTTCAGGTCATTATCTTGAATCATCCAGGAGAGATCCACGCTGGTTATTCTCCAGTCTTGGATTGTCATACAGCCCATATCGCCTGTAAATTCGCTGAACTTGTTGAAAAGATCGATCGTCGTTCTGCCAAGAAATTAGAAGATGCTCCTAAAATGGTCAAATCTGGAGACGCTGCTATCGTCAACCTTATTCCAAGCAAACCCATGTGTGTTGAAGCTTTCACTGATTACGCCCCCTTGGGTAGATTCGCTGTACGGGACATGAAACAAACCGTAGCCGTTGGGGTCATCAAATCAGTCGAGAAGGCTGAAGCCTCCGGTAAAGTCACCAAATCGGCTGCCAAGAAGAAGTGATTATATGAAGATCACTCGGGGGAATGGGGAACATCTGGCAACAAAAAATTTAAGAAATTTCTGGGGAACTTGTTAAGAAAAAAAAGTGCTGCCTCTTTTAAAAACTTGCTCGCTCTTTTGATTAAGTTATCTTGGCCGACTTGGTTGCTTCAATGTAAATTGCACAGAAAAGAAATACGACGGAAAAAAAACTGTCCTTTAGTGTAATTTTAACCGTAATAAAATAATTTAATGTATGTTTAGTTTTTGTACCATCTTGGATAACGGTCCCTGGCGTAGAGTACCGGAAGTGTGTATTGTGGGACTCGGGGGAACTTTTAACAGGAGGGGGCGGGCTTTGAACATTGCTGATGTAGTTGAGAAATAATGAACATCCATGTTGGAAATAGAAGACGCTTGGCTCGAAATGGGGGGGGGGGGGGGAGCTATAGTTCAAAGGCTGTTTAATTTTTTTGGGGAGAGGGGGATACATCGGAAGTAGAATGGTCACGGATCACTTGCGTAAGGGTAGATGTACGTGGGACCTCCTCAGACTTGGATGGAGATTTACTTGCAGAAAGTAGTTCATCCTCGCTCGCCCTAAGTGAGATCTAGAAGACGCCAAACTTGAATTTGTTATCCCAAATTGAGGGGTGCATTTAAAATACCAGAAACTTGTCTACATCAAAAATAAAAATTGCAAATTTAGCAGACGAAGTGTGACCAGCCTCCGGAAATTAGAATTTTAATCCTCTTATTTATTGGAATGAGTTATTGGACATTCACCCCGGGGCACCCAATGAGAGACACCCGTAACCAGTCAGCCAGAATTGGCCCCCATAAACCTCATTGATGTCTGTCCACGTCACGCCGTGTTATGTAATAGCTATATTGCCGATTCTGAAGATGTCGACAGCTTCATTGTATTGCCTTTGTTTATGATGCTCTGTTTTTTGTTAAAAGATTAATTAATTGTTTTAAGAGGAGGTAAGATGTGACAATGCCATAGGCAAATAAACAACAACCGTGTCCCAAATTTTAGAAAGGAGTTTTTTAGGTCCCAGTGGTCACGATTCCCCTCTTGGTCGGTTGGTCAACGGGCCTATAGAACTATAGTCAGAATAATTTAGCATAAGGCTAGCTTAGTCTTTGACGAGTATTGCAGCTGTACATAGCTCAGTGGTCATCCCTCTTGGTTGGTATATAAAGACCAGAAGTTAAAAGCACGAGGGAAAACAGCCTGGGCAATATTTTATCATAAGCCTTGTCTCTGACGCCCACACTTCTGTCTACGAGGATCGCAGCTGTACATAAACAAAGAGGGGCAGAACGATACGATAGTTCATGAGCACAGCTTGTGGTACGTGGTATCGATTAAGTTGCTGAAAGAAATGCCACATGGTCAATCTCAGATTAGCACCAGCTGTAGGCGGTCAATAGCAAAGATGGTCTTGAAGATCTCCCTGCAGGGGGTGGGGAGAGAGGGGATACCCTGGTAGATTAGGATCCTATTAATAAAGGCATGACCATTTACGGTATCATGTGAGAAAGCCTCTCAACCCCACCCCTATAAGGAATAGAAAAGATGGTCTTGAAGAATTCTCAGCAGGGAAGGGGGTGGGGATACTCTGATGCATGACCATTTACGGTATCTTTAACGAAAGCCTATCAACCCCACCCCTCGTAAATGAACGGTGCGGTGGAGAGAGTTTGTGGGGTGGTAAAATATTAAATGTTCAACCTCTGTCTCTAACTATAGGCTTTTAATACGTCTAAATAAAACACAAAAATAAATTAAAATTTGCTTTACCTGTTTACTTGAATTCCATTTTCCTTCATTTTCTTTTTTCATATTTTCATAATGGCGCCTTGTTGATGGTATGTTGTGAAATCGAGGCATAACATTCGGGACAATTGGTCATCTTCATTTCGGACCTCGGACACAATTAGCGCATTAATACGTCAGAATTAGAAGTTGTGAAATGTCATTTTAAAACAATATCATCTTGTATTTGCGGATTGTTTTACTATCCTAGCGAGGTTGTGGCGCTTCCGATACGGAAGTTACACGTGGGTCATTTCTCCCTTGGCCCTCGGGCAATAACTATTGTATAAAACAGGGGTGTTCAGTTGTCCGAAACAGTGATCGAATCATTTTACTATTGACTTTAGTCCATTACATCCACCTGCTACCCCTTGACTCGTTTTGGAATAACATTGCCCAGCGTCTTTTTCATCGATCAATTTTTGAAATCGTTCACTTGCTTAACGACTTTCATAAGATAAACCAGGTAAGTTATCCACTTTCTTTATTTGATGTCTTTTTACGTGAATATTTTTTAAAACCGTTCCTTAGATTATCTATTTTATCTACTGTAATTAAGATTTATTGAAATTAGATCACACTGTAAATTGCACGATCATCTTTATAGACTAATCTTTAATGCTTTCGTTCTGGTGCAATTTTGTTTACAAACACGTGGCTGAATTCGATTTGTTTACCAACACGTGCTTGTCTTCTAACAAAACAACATCTTTATATTTATATAAAGGGGATCTAAGAAGATCTAAAACTATCCAAAACTATCTAAAACTATCCACAATTGTATTAAATTCCTCTGATCTATTTTGAACCTGAAAAGTTTTCGTCTTTGAAACAAATTGTGAACACATGTGACGTGGCATTTAAATTTTAGCACTTTTAGTCTTTTTTTTATATAATCACAATTTATTATGAAATTATAATTGATATACTTCCTCATGTGAAAAGTTCATTAGCTGTTACCATTGTTTTGGCAGTATATTTATATTTCGGGTTTTGTTTTGTGGTTCGAATCGCTAGTACTTGGTTTATTATAATCAAAATTATTTCTCTTCATTACAGATTATAAATCATTTAAAAAAACAAAAATGGGAAAAGATAAGGAAAAGGTCCACATCAATATTGTTGTCATTGGCCATGTCGATTCCGGTAAATCAACCACCACCGGTCATCTTATCTACAAATGTGGTGGTATCGACAAAAGAACCATCGAAAAATTCGAGAAAGAAGCCAACGAGGTATGGATCCTTAAATTTTGATATTTTACTTTCATTTACATCTTTTCAATGTCATGGTTTGGTATTGTTAGTCCGCATACATGTTGCTGTGGCCTTCTGTGAATTTGGAACCATGGATTTTAGATTCTTGTGATTCTATTCGGACCCAAAAGACCTTGATGTCTGGTTGTACCCGAACCGTTATGATCTTCATTGCATATTAGCATCACAATTATTGTAAACATAACTTTAACCCTGTGCCAGTGCCTTATATTTAATAGTAACTTGTTACTCTTCAATCACCCTAATCTCTAACGTTGTGATACATTTAGACAGCTGAGGGTTTGTGTTTCCTAATATTTATGATATTGTCTATAGATTAACCAGAGTTTGAATATTTTCTTTAATAATTTCAGATGGGTAAAGGTTCTTTCAAATACGCCTGGGTATTGGACAAACTGAAGGCTGAGAGAGAACGAGGTATCACCATTGATATTGCTCTGTGGAAATTCCAGACCCCTAAATACTATGTGACCATTATTGACGCTCCTGGACACAGAGATTTCATTAAGAACATGATCACTGGCACATCACAGGTAAGAAAGCTCGTGATTTTATTCTTCACCAGACAGTTGTCAGAAAGAGTTGCTGACAGACTGACGCGAACGGCACGTTTAGTTTTTACTCTAGTTTCAAAGAGGCCTACCACATCTACGATAAATGTTGCGTCCATGATAATAAGATTTTCAAGGGATCCTAAATAGTTGGTCAGGTTTCTTATCAGTCTACCATGCCCAAATAAGGAGCCTTAACCAGAGGAAGCAAGAACCTGCTCACTCGTATGTTTTCTGAGGATGTTGCTGAATTTGACATTTCATCCACATGGTATATGTAGTGTATTATAATATATTTGCAGATGAAATATTTGTATTTCTTTTTCTCCACCTAGGCTGATTGTGCCGTATTGATCGTAGCTGCTGGTACTGGCGAGTTCGAAGCTGGTATTTCCAAAGAGGGTCAGACCCGAGAGCACGCCTTATTGGCCTTCACCCTGGGTGTCAAACAATTGATCATTGGTGTCAACAAAATGGACAGCACAGAACCTCCTTACTCAGAGTCTAGATTTGATGAAATCTGTAAAGAAGTCTCTGGATACATCAAGAAGATTGGTTACAATCCAAAAGCTGTTGCCTTCGTGCCAATTTCTGGTTTCCATGGTGACAACATGTTGGAAAAATCTCAGAAGATGTCGTGGTACAAGGGCTGGAAAATTGAACAAAAAGACGAAAAGGGCAACATGCAAAACGTATCTGGCGATACTTTAACTGACGCCTTGGACAGCATCCAACCACCCAAAAGACCCACCGACAAACCCCTTCGACTTCCACTTCAAGACGTCTACAAAATTGGAGGTAGGTCACTTGTACTAAAAATAAATTCACGAAACTTGAGTACTCCGATATTCACGGTAATCCGGCTTGTTTTACGGTTCCAAAGTTAGACGGATTACGCGTCTTTGCGAATTGTACCTGTACGATATAGACGTATCTATATGAAGCGGTAACAATGTAAGCTTACTGATCGTGGTCTTAACACATAGCAAACTCAAGGCCCGTATCGTTATTGGATATATACGTACACCCCCTTTTAACTACGATTGTAGTACAGACTTGAAGCTGATAGTTCTGTCTCATGCCATGGTCCAGGACGTACGGGCCTGCCCGTCTCTTGTAAACTGCCAGGAATCTAAATAGTTTAATTCCGTTACAGGTATTGGAACAGTGCCTGTGGGTCGAGTAGAAACCGGAATCATTAAGCCCAGCATGGTGGTTACATTCGCTCCAGCTGGAGTCACCACAGAGGTAAGTTCTTTACTCAGGAACTTCGTGAACCTAAGCTTTTATTCTGAGAGTAGGACACTGTGAATTATGCACGTGTGTTGGCTAGTCTATTAATGTCAATGTTGTTTTGCTATAGAAACTTCGACTATTTCTAAAGCGTAACTTATAAAATATTTTTGTATATTTCAGTGCAAATCAGTTGAGATGCATCACGAGTCTTTGACCGAGGGTGTACCCGGAGACAATGTCGGATTCAACATAAAAAACGTATCTGTTAAAGATATCAAGCGAGGAATGGTTGCAGGTGATAGCAAGAATGACCCACCCAAGGGTGCCAAGAGCTTTTTAGCACAGGTATGTATTGTAATCGCGATACAGAACTATATCACTCCTTGATATCAAATGAAAACGCTAGTGGCATCGCATGATTGCACGTGCGACAGTGCTGCATCGCACAGCGTTCGTTGCATCGCATGATTGCACGTGCGACAGTGCTGCATCACACAGCGGTCGTGGCATCGCATAATTGCGACATTACCATAGAATTGAATCAATCACAAGGCGGTCGTAGCATAGAATTTCCACCGTAGTCGTAATCGTGTTGGGTCATTTGACATCTGTGACTTCTACTTGGAATCGTCGAGAAACGTCACTGTCCAAGAATCATTGTTTCTTTGTGTGATCGTTTAAGATGTCCTACAGTTCATTTATTGCCTTCCTTTCAGGTCATTATCTTGAATCATCCAGGAGAGATCCACGCTGGTTATTCTCCAGTCTTGGATTGTCATACAGCACATATCGCCTGTAAATTTGCTGAACTTGTTGAAAAGATCGATCGTCGATCAGGAAAGAAGCTTGAAGATGCTCCAAAAATGGTCAAATCTGGAGACGCTGCTATCGTCAACCTTATTCCAAGCAAACCCATGTGTGTTGAAGCTTTCACTGATTACGCCCCCTTGGGTAGATTCGCTGTACGGGACATGAAACAAACCGTAGCCGTTGGGGTCATCAAAGCCGTAGACAAATCGGAAGCTGGTGGTAAAGTCACCAAATCTGCTCAAAAGGCGACAAAGAAAAAGTGATTAGTCGGCAATTCAAAACATTTTCATCCATCTCCTATTTTTCAAACCATTTTGAGGGTTTCGTTAGTTAAGCTATCTTGGCCAACTTGGCTTGTTCAATCTAAAATACACAGGAAAGAATTTCGTAGACGGAGAAGCCTTGTCGTCTAATTGTGTAGTTTTAGAATAAATTCTCACATACACTCAGTCTTATTTTGTGCCCTCTTTTACTTACAAGAGCCTCCCACCCACCCCCCCAAAAAAAAAACGTAGCAGAATCAGTCTTGCACGTGAATGATGCTTTTGACTAATAAAGAGTCATCAAAATGATTGCGGGGCTAAGGGTAAGCGAAATGATGGTGAGTGGGGCCAAGAGTCATCAAAATGATGGGTGGTGGATCAAAGGGTCATCAAAATGATGGGTGGGTGGGGCCAAGAGTCATCAAAATGATGGCGGGGTTAAGGGCAAGCGAAATGATGGTGAGTGGGGCCAAGAGTCATCAAAATTATGGTGGGTGGGACCAGTTGTCCAAGGGTCATCAAAATGATGGTGGGTGGATTAAGGGTCATCAAAACGTGGTGGTTGGCCCAAGGGCTGTTATTTTATGAAGATACATGGATGTGTGTAGGTTAATATGCTTACTGTTTTATTTTTAGAATGTGATCTTCCCTTCCCCCTATTTTCCAGTGTGTTCATTTCCTGGTTAAAACAGGTCCCTAGATTGTTTGCAGGGTCAAGTAATATATCAACGCCATGTAGTGTGCAATAAGGGTAATTTTGCCAGGACAGCAGCATTAGCCTACTCTTTTTCACTTCCAAATGTCTTGAGATCTTTAACATGCACAGCCTGTAGCACACGTGGCCTCAGTTTTATGTTTCATTCGAACGAATGGATGCTTTTTCTGTGTCAGCACCTGCATCACTGACAGGGAGAACCTGGTTGATCCGCAGGTATTATCTTTACCCATAGAGAGATTAAACCCTGAACGTTCAGGTTAGGGAGCAAGCGTCTAACTCACTGAGACACACACCATTTCCAGATGAGCTTTTGACAAAGCGCTTTATAACAGATTGAGTTGTAAGGAAACTGTCGATTGGTCCGTAGAATTGAGAAAGAAAAAATGCTTCTGGTTGGCTTTTTATTTCGGGTTTATTATTTTATGTGCCAATTAATAATAGGTAAATAAAATAATATAGCAATTGAAAACAGAGTGAGAACAATACAGACAACTCTTTCACAGACAGACCAAAATTTACTCCACAAAATCCTTCGCAATTTCTTAAAACACAGGAGAAATTTCCATTATCTGTTCTTTAAACTACAGGGAACCAAATTCTCATGCCAAAAATAGAAAAATTCCAGAGGATATGATTGGAAGCTATTTATAGTTGACCAATCGGAATGCAAGAATTGGAATTTCAGAGAAAATCCAATTAAAAGAGAATTGAGGCGGTAGAAGTTGACTATTAGTGATTTTATTTCTGTAACATATTGAGAAATTATGATATTTTCTACTTCTTACTAATCATTAGTTTGAAATGAACACGGAAACTGTTCAGAGATAGTTTTTATCTAATAAAGAGAAACATTATGCATGAAACAGGGCTTGGAGAATATTACAAACAATTAACCAACGATTTTAGTTTTTATTTTAACTCTAGTTAAAGTTTTATTAAGTTAGTAAGCAAAAATGATCTAAATTTCAGATTATTGTTATCTTTTAAATTAAGTTCAGAGAAATAGGACCAAAACCCCAAAATTTCATTTATATTTACTTTCAAGAATATTCAAATTGTAATGGCCACTTGCAAAAACCGGAAAAAGCATAAAACAATCTTGCCAAACATTTGAAACAGAAATACAAATATTGAAATAACCAAAATTCTGTCAAAATCTCTCGCTTCTCGCGTAATTTTTTTAAGTCATGTTAAAAAAAAACAAAATGAAAGGGAAAATCAATGATTTTTTCTCCAATTAATTCTAAATATGAACTACATCTAAGGAATAATAATAATAATAATAATAATGATATTTTCAAAACGAACAGAGGTACGACAATTCACATACATACACCCAATTTGGTATGATTTTAGATTTTGCATTCAGCATTTAACCCTTGGAATAGTGAGTGAGCGAGACAAAGACAAAAATCCCGCCAAAATAACTGTTTACGTTTGTTTACTTTAAGCAGAGTTTTTTCAAAATAAAACAAGCGATAATTTTAAACTACTTGCAGGAGAGTAAGAGATGATATCAAATTGTTAGAATGGCCACAGTTATCTTTGACACATTTGGATGTAAATATAAAATTAAAGAAGCTTTGAGATGAGACATCTTGATATGACAATTTATTCTTCAAAACTAAATGTGAAACTATGCATTTAGCGTTTTCGATTCTAATAAGTTTGACTGATGGTTACGAAACTTTTTTCAAATCGACCACACATTTTATGTTGCTTTTTGAATACAAATTCAGATTTCATTTCTGTATTCATCTGTTATTTGAAAAATCAAAAACTTAGCAGCTTTCAGTTGTTGTATATTTGAAAAATGTTTTGTAACCAAGGGCAGTAACTCAGTGCAATACGAACGAAGACAAAGACTATATGATAAAATTCAGCCGAATTGAAGACAAAATGTTTGTCGTTTAAAGTTAATACAGATCGATTTGTTGTTTGTCACAGGTAAAAACAGAACTTTTTCTTGGAGAGTATGTTACGGCTCGCATTAATTCACAGTCATTTCAATCCAATTTTTGTGGTTTTTTTCAAAAGTCGAGATCCAAAATATCAAAAAATAAGAAAGCAGAATTTTAATCTTCAAAATTTGTAACATTGACAAACCACAATGAATAACAACGAAACCAAAAACCACAAAAATTGGCGCCAAAAAAAGGAAATAATGCATGAACAGTAAAATATTTTGTATGTTTATAAATAAACAAGTCCGATGATCAGCCAACCAATTAAAATTGAGCCTCCTCGGTCACATGACCACACAGTTGTGTCATTCAACATGTTACCATGGAGATATAAAAAGCTAATTATTATCCAATCACTGTTGCTCTGTTTCAGTAGCATCAGTTTCCTCAGCCTGGTTGTCAGACGTCCAAAGCTGAAAAGAGAAAAAAATAGCATGATTAGAAACGTAACATGAAATCCAAAATCCAAACAATGTATTGCCAAAACTTTAGTAGCAGCTAATGAACTTTTCACATGAGGATAAATAAACCAATATAACGATTCGAAACACAAAACGAAACACAAAATCTAAACAACATATTGGCGAAACATTGGTAGCAGTTTATGTACTTTTCATACAAGGAAGTATATCAATTATAATAAGTATTTTATAATGAAAAGTGGTATCAGGTGTCTTCAATCTAGATCGTTATATCGCGACGATAAACCAAGGGAGATAACTTACTGTTAAATTGTCTCTCAGCAGCTGCATGATCAATGTGCTATCTTTATACGAATCTTCATTCAGGGTATCTAGACAGGTTATAGCTTCATCAAATGCCTACAAATATAACATTAACAGTGAAGAAATTCCTAAAAAAAACTCTTGTCATAATGTAAAGCATTGGCCAAGGTCACAAATAAAGAGATTAACGAGATATATTCATTTTGAATGTAGGTTCAAATAAGTCATATTGTTTAAAATTCTACTGTCCGCAAAATTTTGATGTAAAATCAAATTTGAGCAATTATTTTCACACGAATCTGAATAATTGATTTTTAACACTCTGATTTTCTGCACTAGATTGGGCCAAGACGAGAAACTTGTTCAACATATAATAACGTTATTAATTTCCAATAACATATTGACTTCCCTAATAAAAAGGTTACTTACACTTTTAGCTAATTCACAGGCCTTATCAGGACTATTCATGATCTCATAATAGAAAACTGAAAAATTCAGGGCCAACCCCAATCGAATAGGATGTGTAGTCTGCATGTTTTCTGCAATTTTTTTTGCATCTTGGTAAGACTGCTTAGAAGCTTCAACCACTTCTAAAAAGAAGGCATATAACATTATTAGTTTATCATGGCAACACGTTTAGTTTATTCCATGGCAGACGCAATGAAATGACTTCATATCAAAAATTGTTGAACCTCATGTAGAAAGGGAATAGACATCCTCCTCTTCCTCCCCTTTATAACTGTCATAACTGTTTCATGGGGCTCAATGTCACTGTTAGTCATTACCTTAGGGAATTCAGAGAGGAAGTTTCAATTTGAAAACTTACAGTGGTAAATTTAAGGTAAATTTTGCCAGGACATCGAGCAAAGAAATGAATTGAATGGAGTAACAGGTGAAAACCGGGTAGAAAAATCTGAAGGTATTATCTCGACCTATGCCGGGGTTGAACCCTCTTCAGGTTAGAGAGCAAACGACTAACTCACCGAGAGAAAATGGAGAGGGAGATATAGAAATAATACTTACTGTCTTTTTCATCACTCTGACTAACTTCAGCCAAATAACGATAGTAATCTCCCTTCATTTTTAAATAAAATACCAGACTATCAAAACATTTCTGATCATCTTTCTCACCTTCCAATCGTTCTCTAGCTTTAGGTATAAGGTATTTATCCAACAATTCCTGTAATTAGACAATCAGGAATAATAAATATTAACTAATTAATAAATAGAAATATTAAAACAGAACTTGAATCATGTTGTTACACACTATGCGATCTTCAAACAACTGACTTATATTCAGCCTAAGTCCCTACTGAAGTTTGACAAGTACAACTTATTCTCATGTCTACATTTCAAGACAAGTTCTGAACGTTTGTTTAAAGACGTGTGTTTAGGGGAATTAATGATGGAAAGCTTCTCAGTTTAACACAGGATACATCATTTAGTTTTATTTGTGTAGGTTTTACCTCTACTATCAATAGACCAGGACCTGGACCTGATTTTATCTGGTTAGCTATTGGTGACCATTATGTCAAGCTGTTTGTATATCTCTCTGATTCTATAACATAGAATATCACTAGTCATGAGAGAATCTAAGACAATAAGCTAGCGATCTGTCTGAAGTCAGGTTAATCACTGCTTGTCATTTTCAATTATCAATCTATATATATCACAGAATAATAGACCTGTCAGTAGAATAACTATAGACTTAACCACAGAACAACAGTCTTTATATACTCCTCAGGCTATGTTTCCAGAATAACAATAAATATTGTTTTAAAACCACTTTCAACACAAAACAACTTATCCTCCTCAGTTTGTGCTTTCGTAATTATAATAAATATTTGTTTATTGCTCTACTTATTGGTCATGCTTCGGACAAGTTTTGTGGTTAATGGAATGATATTGCTCACTACAAGCTCACTAATTAATCCTTTCCTTTGAGGAGTCTATGTATACATTTATTGCCCCTGGTTAGTCTTGCTTTGGACGAGAATTTTGGTTAAAGGAATAATTTTGCTCATAAGTGTACTAATAAACTTTTCAAAACACCTGATGGTACTCCTTTGGGTTCCCCACTATAAATTTATTGTCTTGCTTTGGACACGAATTTTGGTTTAAGGAATAACTCTGCTTATTATTACTCTTTTTGCAACACCTGATGGTACCTCTCTTTTGAAGAGTTCACTACTTATTGGATAAGAATTGTCTTGGATGTACTTTTACTATTCAATACCACAAGGTTAATGTATAAAAACACGAGTACAGAGAGATGTTGAACTAGAAGTCAAGTTGAAATAGAATCAAGCAGATCAATAAAATACTACGTCTAACACACTGTATAAATACATCTCCCTAATCAGACTAATTTCATATTAATCTACCATTTTTTACACTGCAGAATATCCAATAATATCTTGTATTTCCCAGCTAAAAACAGTAGTAATAAAACCAAGAATATAAAGACATAGAAAAGATCAGATAACAGTCCTAATAAGTATTTATAGAAGAAATTGAATTTTTTTTAGTTTCTCTGAAAACATCATTATAATTCTGGTTTCAAAACCATTAAAAACAATAACAGAAAAGATGAAATAGGAATTTAATATGTAAACCAAGTACTAATGATCCGAACAGCAAAAACGAAATACAAAATCAAAATAACATACTGATAAAACATTGATAGCAACTAATGAACTTTTCACACAAGGAAGTATATCAACTGTAAGTGAGTAAGTAGGCTTAAATATTTCATAATAAAAAGTGGTATCAGGTGTCTAGAAGAGGAAGCATACTCTGTCTTGAGATTGGTATCAGGTGTCTAGAAGAGGAAGCATACTCTGTCTTGAGAAGTAAAAGAAGGAAAATGATAAAGTACTATTAGGAAGAGACATTTTTTATTTAAGATAATATTTTATCAATATATTATCAATATAATTTATATGTTTTAGAGTCAAGTATTAGGGAGAAGGAAGGAAGGAAAGAAAGACAAGTAAAGAATAAAGAGAAAAAAGAAGAAGGTATATATCAGTTATTATTATTGTTCACTTCATCTGTTTCTGCTACTTATTGATTTTTTGTACAACCTGTCTGTCTCTCTACAACTTATAACTACAGTCAGTCCTACATTGTGAACATATACTATACTCATACAACCCCTTATAAATTTTATATTTCTCTGTTAATTACTATTAAAACCTTGTTTGTGTAGTCTAGGATGACTATTGTCTGTCTACTTCATTTGGGATTAACAGTCTACATGAGGACTGCAGTTTGACAATAATCAAAGTACTAGAATTAATTTCCTATCTATATCTTAGTTATAGATCTTTTAACATATCTGAATCTGAAGGCTTACTCATATCATGATATGAGTCAAATCCAACCTTACTTAATCTACTTCCCTATATAATAATACATCAGATATAAGTCAGTAAGCTGAATTAAAATAACAATCCATAACCAGACAAAACTAGTTAATAAACCAGGTCTTATCAAGCTATAATATTTGAACTATCAGTAATAAGGTCAAGTAGGGGTAGGCCTATTTAATATAATATAAGGAAAGGTAGGTATGACTGTATTATTGACCTATGAGTACTAATAGAATACAAGATGACAGTGTAGTATCTAGTAAAACATAATAAAAATATGTCATTAACCAGCCAACAGTTATTCAAGCGTAAATGACAACAACTAGAGAGAATGAATCATATTACACTCCCTTTGTTTGATCTTCAAACCTTAAAATAGAATATAACCTTTACTAACTTTTTAAATGGCAGGCATGATCACTTGAATATAATATTCATTTCAAATTTGTATGTGTATTTGTGCATGAAATTATATTTGGTAATATGGTATGCTCTTAATTGATTAAAGTTTGCCTCAGCAAGTTTATATACTGAGTTAGTTTATTGTCCTGGTTTATCTTTAGTACTTAAATACTCTATCAATGTTCCAAAGTTTTCCCCAAGGACAGCAATACCATTCTTACTTATTACACATAAGAAATTGACCAAATCCTGGACAGAAGTGACTACAATGAATTCTGTTTTCCAGATCTTTTCAACTAGTAAAGAAGTGAACAACAGGACGTAAAATATTGAGATACAGAAGTTTAACACTATGAAGGTGAATGTTTATTTAGTATAAGAGAAGAACAACTCATTAAAATGTGAATATCTGAAGGTGGTTAATTCTAATAAAATATCCTCCCTTTAACAACAATCAGTGGGTCTTAATACTATCAAATACCATGACAAGATTATAGTATTGTATAGTAAACTAGCCTGTATGTCATACTGTCCATTGGTAGACTGATTAATACAAATCTAGTATTACCAATACAGGAAAACTTACTGGAATTGTAAAGAGATTTTCTAAATTTTATATAATCCGGTATCGGAGACACCAATAGTACTATTTCAATTTTCAATGTTCCTGCAATTCCATTTAAACTAGGTGTTTTAAGTCTGTTGGAAGATGAATTGTCATAGAGTAGGCTCTAGGGCATCAATTCAGTACCGGTACCTAGGCAATATTGACCCTTCTGTTACAATCTAAGAATTAAATCAACTTGAATAATCTGATACTCCTTGAGCCTTTCTGCTAAATTTTACTACTGCTTTATCTGACTTTTCAATCTCACTTGAGGTTTAGCCTACGTACCTAACCTGTGCTTTCATAACATTACTTGTTACTTTTCAATCACCTAACCCTAACAACTAAGAAAATTTAAGCAGGTCTTGTACAGGAATTTGTTACCTAACCATAAATAAGGTTTTAAGAAAAGTAGTACGAGAACTTCGAGAAGTAATAAGATTGTAAGAGAAGTAATAAAAGGCTGTAAGAGAAGTAATAAGATTGTAAAAGAAGTAATAAGGCTGTAAGGGAAGTGATAAGATTGTAAGATAAGTAATAAGGCTGTAAGAGAAGTAATAAGGTTGTAAGAGAAGTAATAAGGCTGTAAAAGAAGTAATAAGGTTGTAAGAGAAGTCATAAGGTTGTAAGAGAAGTAATAAGGTTGTAAGAGAAGTAATAAGGCTGTAAAAGAAGTAATAAGGTTGTAAGAGAGGTCATAAGGTTGTAAGAGAAGTAATAAGGTTGTAAGAGAAGTAATAAGGTTGTAAAAGAAGTAATAAGGTTGTAAGAGAAGTAATAAGGCTGTAAAAGAAGTAATAAGGCTGTAAGAGAAGTAATAAGGTTGTAAGTAATAAGGTTGTAAGAGAAGTAATAAGGTTGTAAGAGAAGTAATAAAGTAAGGCAGTAAGAGAAGTAATAAGGTTGTAAGAGAAGTAATAAGGTTGTAAGAGAAGTAATAAGGCTGTAAGAGAAGTAATAAGGTTGTAAGAGAAGTAATAAGGTTGTAAAGTCTATAATCTGATAATCTATCAGTAATCTAAACAACAGAAGTTGTAAGATATCTTGTTACATCACACTGTATATTAAATCATACAATCTCTTACTAATTACATCTTACTACAGTATCTTCAATCTTTATTCTGTCAGATAATTAACACTGGGTTTAACTTAATTACTGCTAATCTCATTAATGATTGATCTCTTATAATTGTATCAATGCAACCACTAGTGTAGTCTAAGCCATAATGTCTCAAAACATTGATATTCTTGTCGCGTTTGCTGTTAAAATATAGAACTGATTTCTTCTTATAGTCTCAATGTAACCACTAGTCTAGTCTCTAGAGGCCACAGAAGGGTACTGGTAAAATATAGAATTGATTTGGTATTGTTTTGGATTTTATTGCCTAAATGAAATCACAGAATGTAGATAATCTGATAATCCTATCAGTTAGTCTTTGAAGGAATTACGACAGATCTTAAAACATACAGACAAATAAAACAACCCTTTTTCTATGATCCATTAAATAATGGAAGGAAATAGAAGACACTATAACACTTGAAGACTGAGTTGGTCTATATAAGTTACATTGTCTAATATATTTGTGTATATCAGAGAAATGTTCTAGATTATTTCAGTATTTTATTGACATTGTAACTCATTCCAATTCTATTCCAACTCACAACATGTGATAATATACAACAATGACATCATCAAATAGGAATTGATCATGTCAGACTATTTATAGACCAGACTTTCCCTCAACCTATTTTTTAATTCTAGAATGTAGCATTGTAAAAACTATACCTCTAACAGGCCAGGTACTAATAAGATTGACCTGGTTCTGAGATGAAAGAAGCCTTATCTATGGCTTATCAGCAAGTTATGTCTGAATCAAGTTGGCCTGTGATTAGCTGTAGAGAGGTAGAGAATCAGTGTTCATTGACAACCGCCCAAACTTTCACTGTGACACTCTCAACTTTCACATTCGATCAGATCAATCCAATCCCAGCAGAAAAATTACTCACTATCATTACAGACATAGATGTGATCAAATGAAATATCACTACTCTCTCACACTAGATAATTATTTCATGAATCCATTTTGTAGTAGAATTGAACTGCAATCAGAAGCCACAATCGACACAAAAAAATTCAGATTTTTACTCACCAAAACTTCTTTACAAATCTTTTTTAATTCCTCTTCCACCTTTTCTCTATATTCTTTAGCCATTAGTTGTTTTTTGTCGTTCGCATCTGTCTTCTGTTCGATACTGGAAATGACTCGCCATGCCGATCTTCGAGCTCCTACTACGTTCTTGTAAGCTACCGATAGTAGATTTCGATCCTCATTTTCTAATGCATCTTTTCCACTCGCTCTTTCCACACATTCTTTCATCGCCGCGGCCATATCATCGTACCTTTCTGCTTGTTCAGCTAACTTAGCCTTAGTAACGTAGTCTGGTTGTGTCGTCATTTTGAATCGAAATTAAGATGCTGAAATGGATTTAGTTCATAAAATTATACCGACAATATTCACCATGACCCTAAAAATTTCAAGATGGCGGAACCGAGCCCAACTTGGACTGTCAATGACATAATGTATGATGAATTAATGAAGTATGTCGTTCTTCTTTTTCGGATAATAATATTCGGCTAGAAAAACGGTTGAAGTTCTTACCTTATGTCTAAGCAGACGATTGATGGAAGAAAACAACAATAAATTAAAGAAATAAGAGGGAACTATATACGTGGAATCAATCAATGAATGTCAAGAGTTGTCTTTCCTTGAATTCCTGCGCGAATTTATTCTAGTCTGCATTATCCAGACGAAGATATTAATTTTCTATTGAGTTCAACGTAAATTATAGACTGGATAACTCGGGACTAAAATTTCAGGGGCGTGCTGGTCGAACCACAGGGTAGCCATTACGTCAGTCTGTCACCATGACAATACGAGTTCCCAGCATTACTCATTACCGCTAAAAATATTATTTTCCACAAATTTGCCTTTTATCACAATGATTGCAAATCTTTGTTTAAATCTTGTCCGTTGCTGTCGTTGATTCTTTTTGTTTCGCCATTAAAAATATAATTAAAGATAATTTATTCTCCCATCATGCACTTGACCTCGTTACGAAATTTCCTGTTGACAAAATTGCAGAAGCACGTGTGGAAGACAAAATTTGATAATTGTTTACAAAAATGCCTAAGTCAAAAAGAGAGAAGAAAGGTAATTTTAGGACATTTAAGTTTGTTTTTCGAGTTCCTTGTTAGATGGTGCTCTCAGATGCAGAGAACACCTATCGATCGCACATTTTGTGTGCTCGAAACTGACGATCGAAAATATGTTTTGACTGTCGACGAAGTGTCGTCTGCCACTCAGCCGCTGCCCTTATTTCAACCACTTCCACAGATGCGCTTCCATTTCTAAGATGACATGCCCCTTTCTTTGATTATATAGGTACTCTTGCCTTGTCATCTTCTAGTTTCGCGTTCTTTGAAGACTCTGGCTACTGTCATATCAATCGAGATCAGTCATCAGATTTGTTGATGCCACCCCACCCCCCTCTCTCTCTGCTTACCTCCCCTGCTCTTTGCTCTTAGCCTTAGCCTTCTCAGACAGTTGATCTGTGTTTCTTTGTAGAAACCAGTCTTGGGTAAACTGTTCAATCAGTCTTATTTTCTTTCATTATGCCATCCATACAATCTGTCTGTTCTCTCATTTCAGTGTCATTAACTCAAACAAGAAAGAAAGGATTGGAATTTAAACAGAAGATTATTGAAGATGTAAGTATCTTAATATTCTCAAAGTTTTTGATTGGTAGAGATTGATACAGGAGCAAATTAGAACTATTTGTGCAACACGCTTAGAACTCTCTCCCTCAGCCTTAGGCTGAACGAATGTTTTTTAACAGTGAAAAACACTCTAGAATATTTTCCAGAGTATGGTGATGTCTGATGTTTCTATAAACATACAACAATGGATCCCTCTCTAGAATATAACCCAGAGTTAGGTGATGTCCAGTGTTTCCTAATCAGAAACTTTTTAAATCTAACTTTTTTCTATTTTTCTAGGTCCGAGATTGTGTTGATAAATATGCCAGAATTTTCACATTTTCGGTTCAGAATATGAGAAATGTTCAACTGAAAACGATTCGACAAGATTGGAAACACGGCAGGTATTTAGAATCATTCATTTTATCTAGCTAACTTTAATATTTGGGAAAGCATTGTTACAGACTGCAACAGTCAAAATAACTATCAAAGTTAGCAAGATTTTAAGGATATCTAAAACAATAGGAAATGAAGGATTTTTATGTCCTACTTTTCTGCACCTGATTGGGTTTATGAAGAAGGACAACGTCCTGCAGGGTGCAATGAGGGAAATAAATTTTGCAACATCTGAAACAAGAGATGATGTAACCACTAAAACCAGTGATAATGAAAAAGTAAATCTATGTTTTTTTATTTCAGATTTTTCTTTGGTAAAAATAGTTTGATGGCAGTAGCTGTAGGGAAAACAGAATCTGATGAATATAAAGACAATTTAAGATTTTTAGCTCAGCAGTTGAAAGGACAAACTGGTTTACTTTTCACTAACGAAACCAAGAAAAATGTCTTAAAGTGAGTTTTATAAAATTGATTGAAATTGCACTCAAGTCCTGCTCTTCAGCATGTGATTGGGCCTCATGAAGACGAGCAATGCTTTGCTTTATTGTTCCACCTGAATAACTAAATGCTTTTTCATATCAGCCACTGCTGCCTCCAAATTTTACAGCACGTAGTGGGGCTAATGAAGACGTGCAATGCCAGTGTGTAATAAGAGAAATTGTGCAAGAATAACAGCATTAGCTATCTTTTTTTTACTATTTCCATCTGTCGAGGAACATTCAGTCTGAAGCACACAGGGCCTTAGTTTATTGTCCGACTCGAACAACTACACGCTTTGTCCATGTAAGAAACTGCTGCCTCCAAGTTTTGAAAAGAAGTAGATTGTATTAATACATCTTAAAATTAACAAACCTTATATTTATTTCAGGTATTTTGATGAATTCCGAGTTCCTGATTTTGCACGATCTGGTAACCAGGCAACACAAACTGTGATATTAGAGAAAGGACCGATTCCAGATTTATCTCATGCCATGGAACCACAGTTAAGACAGCTCGGTCTTCCTACTAGTCTTCAGAGAGGTCAGTACCGATATTTCATTAATTCTACATAATTTACGCTACGCAGGGTTTTCCTGTAGTGGAGAGCAATCATACGCAGTGGTAACATTTATAACAGATTGCATGTCTCATTGTGAAAACTAGCTGGCTCCTTCATCTGACAGTTCCCTGGGTGCAATATTAGCATGGGTTATAGAGTATTTTCTCCTTTAAGGAACACTCGCCTTTCAGAATGAACTTAAAATTAATATTATCAAGCCTGGCTGTAAGAGTATCAATTTACCTTAGCATGGATTATAGAATCTTATCCTTAAGAACACTGGTATTTTAAAGGTATACTACCTCTTTGAATTAACATGAAATTGAAGCAGCAGACCAAGGTTGTAGTAGTAGTAGCATATATAACTCCATTTCATTTCATATTATATAGGTGTTATAACTCTATTGAGAGATTTTACAGTATGTGAGGCAGGTCAGACAATTACACCCGAACAGTCTAGAATATTGGTAAGTCTTTTATTTGATATCTTTATATTTCAATTGATATTACTAATTGTTATAAATAATACCAAATAAACATTATTAATCACTCTTCTATTTTATACTCTATATTACTTAATATTACTAATTAGCTATGTGGACTCTCAACCATACATTATTGTAAATAATATGGTATAATAGATTACGTTTGGTTGATATTCTATTGAGAATAACCTGTGCACCCTACTTGTCAAATCTTATTTCTGTATTAATATCACAGATACCTAATGAAACTACGGATTGTTCGTACAGGGAAATAAGACACACGAATGTACTTCACAACCATTTCGAATCTCTTCTTCAACATAATATGTTGAAATTTTTAAAAGGCCTAATATTTCACCAAAACCTTCAAATCACAATCAAAGCCATTTCTTAATCTTAAGATGTGATTTATTAAGTTGAAGAAGAGATTCAAAATGGCTGTGAAGTACGTTCGTGTGTGTTATTTCTATGTTAGAACTATACGTACTTTCGTATTAATATCACCTACTAACAGCTATTAGAAACAAAATACTATTTCTATATAGTATCTAACCTACTGCACAATAATATTCTCTCCGTCTACATGCCTGTGGCTGTCCTTTCGTACCATTACTTAACCACAATGCTACAACCTAAAATTCAAACTATTTGTAATGATATACTCTTATAGCGAACATTTTAACAAAACATCTACACAAGGGTTACCTCCAAGAGCTTGAGAAACATAACCTTGTCTTGTCTTGAACTAAAACTTTTCTGAACTGAAAATGAAATGAATGGAGTTTTACGTCCTACTTTTCTGCACCTAATGGTCTTGACTAAATAATCTGAATGAATATCTATATTGAAGATAATGATGTTAAATTGAATATTTTTCATTGCGCTTTCATTTCTCCAAACATGAATTAAACGCTTGCTTGAAGAAAATAATCTACGATATGCAAGTTCATGATTGTTCAACGAAACTTGAAAAAGAATGAGTGAATGAATACATTTTAAAAGTTTTATGGTTGGCACCATGAACCTTAGACAGGTGGGTAACTCATCTTGGTCGTTTAAAAAGTTGTTGAATCTTTGCATGCCATTGATGATTGTGTTAATGTCATCCAACTTTGATTTTTGATTTATGGATAGGGCGATAAAACGTAGGTGTAGGATGATTATTCTTTAGAATAAAGCTAAAGGGGCCCTCACACCATAGCAATTACAAGTTGTGTATGTTGCCCTAATACCATAGCAATCACCAGTCGTGTATGTTGCCCTAATACCATAGCAATCACCAGTCGTGTATAGTTATATATAAGAATAGTGGTTATAAGTTTAGAACGCAACTCTCATGTAACTGTGTCGTGAGTAGTGTTTAGTAATCATAACCACTTTCATTATTCACAACCATACACAACTAGTAATCACTGTGGTTTGTCGCCCCTTCGTGCCTCCTAATCGCAAGGGCACCTTGTCTATTTATACAGAGGCACATCATTGTATGAATTTCTCACTTTGTCAGTATATATAAAACTTAATAATTTGACGTAAGACTGCACTTTGTTAACAGATTAGTATTTTTATGTTTTTTAATTATTATTATTAAAATTTCAGAAATTATTTGGTCACATGATGGTTGATTTTCACGTAACAATTGAAGGAATGTGGTCGAATAATGGAAAATGGCAGGTGTTTGACGAGAGACCAGATCCTCTCGTTCCTACCAAAATTACTGTCAAAGGTACTCCTGAATTCAATGTTGGCGCAAGTGAGGGTACAGGGGGTGGGGGGCCCTTAATTGTACCCTCTCTTTCCTTTTAACAATGTTAATAATATAATTTTTATATGTCTTTTGCTCCAAAAATGTGTCAGAATGTACTGTAAAATTCAATTTTCAGAAATTTTCTTGCAACACAGGTCATAGTCTTGCGAGGCTGGTGCTGCCTCTGTCTGTATTTCATAGTCCCTCCAGCATCTCTTGGACCATGAGCCCATAAAATTCCATTTCTAAATCCATTCAAAGGGTCCAAACTCTTTAGTTCTTTAGGTGAAATGTTTAAGTAAAATTATTTTGATTTATTGAATGAAAATTAGTATGTAGAT